ATCTGGCTACTGCGGTAAAAGACAATAAAGAATGTTTCTGTAAATTCATTAGCAACGGAAGGAGGGCTAAGGGTAATCTTCGTCCTTTACTGGATGTGAGGGGAAACCTAGTGACAAAGGCTGAGGAAAAGGCTGAGGTACTTAATGCCTTCTTTGCCTCAGTTTTTCTCAGGGTACCCAGCCCCCTGAGCTGGAAGACAGGGATGGGGAGCAGAATGAAGCCCTCATAATCCAAGGGGAAAGGGTTAGCAACCTGGTACACCACTTAGACACACACAAGTCTATGGGGCTGGATGGGATCCACCCAAAGGTGCTGAGGGAGCTGGAAGAAGTGCTCACCAAGCCACTTTCCATCATTTATCTGCAGTCATGGCTAACTGGGGAAGTCCCAGTTGACTGAAGGTTAGCAAATGTGACGCCCATCTACAAGAAGGGCTGGAAGGAGGATCTGGGGAACTACAGGCCCGTCAGCCTGACCTTGGTGCCAGGGAAGCTTATGGAGCAAAACATCTTGAGTGCAATCGCCCAGCACGTACAGGACACACAGGTGATCATGGCCAGTCAGCATGGGTTTATGAAAGGCAGGTCCTGCTTGACTAACCTGATCTCCTTCTATGACAAGGTGACCTGCTTAGTGGATGAGGAAGAGGCTGTGGATGTTGTCCAAACATTGCCTAAACTTTATTAAAGCCTTTGACACCATTTCCCACAGCATTCTCCTGGAGAAACTGGCTGCTCATGGCTTGGACGGGCGTACGCTTCGCTGGGTAACAAACTGGCTGGACAGCCAGGGCCAAAGAGCGGTGGTGAATGGAGCTAAATCCAGTTGGTGGCTGGTCACAAGTGGTGTTCCCCAGGGCTCAGTACTGGGGCCAGTTCTGTTTAATATCTTTATCAATGATCTGGACAAGGGGATCAAGTGCACCCTCAGTAATTTTGTGGACAACACCAAGTTGGACGGGAGGGTAGGAAGGCCCTACAGAGCGGACTGGACAGGCTGGATCGATGGGCTGAGGCCAATTGTATGAGGTTCAACGAGGCTGAGTGCTGGGTCCTGCACTTGGGTCACAACATCCCCATGCAATGCTACAGGCGTGGGGAAGAGTGGCTGGAAAGCTGCCTGGCAGAGAAGGACCTGCAGGTGTTGGGCAACAACCGGCTGAATATGAGCCAGCAGTGTGCCCAGGTGGCCAAGGTGACCAACAGCATCCTGGCTTGTATCAGCAATAGTGTGGCCAGCAGGACTAGGGCAGGGATCGTCCCCTGTACTCAGCACTGGTGAAGCTGCACCTCAAATACTGTGCTCAGTTTTGGACCCCTAACTACAGGAAAGACACTGAGGTGCTGGAACATGTCCAGAGAGCAGCAAGGAAGCTGGTGAAGGGTCTAGAGCACAAGACTTATGAGGAGTGACTGGGGGAACTGGGGTTGTTTAGCCTGGAGAAAAGAAGGCTGAGGGGAGACCTTATTGCTCTCTACAACTACCTGAAAGGAGGCTGTAGTGAGGTGGGGGTCAGTCTTTTCTCCCAAGTAGCAGGAGATAGGATGAGAGGAAATGGCCTCAAGTTGTGCCAGGGGAGGTTTAGATTGGATATTAGGAAAAATTTCTTCACCAAAAGGGTTGTTAAGTACTGGAACAGGCTGCCCAGGGAAACAGTTAAGTCACCATCCCTGGAGGTGTTTAAAAGATGTGTAGACGTAGCGCTTAGGGACATGGTTTAGTGGTGGACTTGGCAATGCTGGTAAACATTAGGACTCAATGATCTTCAACGTCTTTTCCAACCTAAACGATTCTATGATTAACCAGAAAAAGTAATCATTCTGTACATTCAATTTAGCCCCGTGAACGCAGGCGCTGGACTAGCAATCTGAAACACAGCGTGGCTGCTGCGCTGGGAAGTCAATTTGCTTAAAGGACCAGCGGTGGGACAGGAAGGATCCTGCCGGGCAGCCGGCAGCCGCTGCCCAGCCCGCTCTGCTCCTGTGGCAAATGAAGGCAGCAGATTGCAATACACTGGAACAAATTAGCCCTTCCATTCATCTTCATTAGCCACGCAGTTTCACTGGATCCAAGCTCACTACAAGTGGGTTCCCAATATCTATGTAAATCCTTCTCTTTCTACACATATTCACTCACGTTTATTAGTAGGTACCAGAAGCAACACTGAAAGTACAAGCCATGCAGAAGAGGAAATTAGTGAGGGCCGTCCGTGTCTGCGCAAGGTTATCGTCCCGATTACGCCGCAGAGAGCAGAGTGTTTGGGTATTACCCCGGTAATTATTGTTGTTGGTTGTGCATTAAATGTGTGCATTTAAAAATAAATCAGGCGAGTCAAGCGCTCTCACAGCCGTTTGATTCATCACCGCGGGTTGTATGGGAAGATGAGGTGGTTGGCCAACACGGAGTTGGACCTCTACATCCACGCTGGGATGGATGAAGGAGCCACCTCAATTTTGTAAGATTGGATTTGCTCTGGAAACCAATGGGTGAAAATCAGGATGCCTTCCTGAAGCTGAAATTTGGATTTAGCAGGGCTACCGTCAGCTATTTCTCCTTTGAGGCCCGGGCAGGGGGACAGCCAGGACTTCCAGAAAAGCCTGTCCCCTTTCCAGTTTGTTGCGGAGGAGAGGAAGCAGCCGAGGGCTGTAAACCCTGCAGCCTGGGAAGGGGCCCATGCTGAGACCCAGCAAGAGCTCTTCGTCTCCCGGGTGTGCGGGCACCCACGCTAACCACAAAACCTTCCACAGATCGACCGGAGAGGAAGACCTGGAGCCCTGGAGTCGGGGGGAGAGGGGATGGTCCCCCAGTCCCCCCGGCCTGCAGCCGGCCGTTTGCTCAGCACATGGCAGCCCCCTCCCGCACACCGGCACCCCCACACCTCACCTGCAGTGGGGGCGGGGGCAGGCTTTTATTAATCAGTGGTAATTACTTATTTTACATATTGTTATTGATGTTTTTTTGTTGCAAGTAGCTGATTATATTTAAGAGATAAGGAGGGAAAATGTCTGCCCGGGCAGCTAAATCACTGGAACAAGGCTACAAAGCCCCGACCGCACGTTGCAGACCTTGCCAAGTGTTTCAAAACTGAATAGTCATTGGGTTGGCAGATAATTCAGAAACTATTTGTATGAGCTGTTTATCAAATTATTAACTGCACAGATGTTGTTTGGTTGAAGAGCAGCTGAACCTTCTCTCTGCCAGCCGTGGAGACAAAGGTCTGCAGGAATAATTGGAGATGTGCATGGAATATTAAATTAATTTACTGCTCTTAATTCTTATGCAAATCCTGACCTCTGATAGAGCCTATCAATTACCCTGCATACAGGGAAAAGAAAGGAGAACAGTTTCTTTCTTTTCTTTCCCCCACTCTTCTTTTTTTCCTGTTGTTCTTCAGTTTGGTTTTTTGTTTCTTTTTTTTTTCTTTTCTTTTTTTCTTTTTGGAAAGGAACTTGGAAAAGGAAATATTTGGGGGAAGAAAAAAGCCATTTGTGGGAGAAGTAAAAGACGGGGGATTATTTAATTGAATCTCCTGGTTGCGGCGATGTCCCCTGGGAGTCCGGACGCAGTTTTTAAAATAGCGGGGGGGCAGCCTGGGAATGGAGGCCAGGGCCAGGCTGAAATAGCTCCACACGCTTCTGTCGGAGGGGACGGAGGGGCCCAGCTCAGCTCACACCGTGGTCGGCTGGAGGGGGAGACGGCTGGAGGCCTATGCTGAGCCGGGGTGGATTTTGGGGGGGCTGGGGTGGGAAGGGGCCCCTCGCTCTGCCGCTGCCGGGGGTTTGGGTGGGTTTTCTGGGGAGGGTTTTGCGTCACTGGGAGCGTGGCTGAATCCGCCGGTAATTAACAGTGAAGAAGAAAGGCAATTTGTTGTCAAGTCTATTGTGAGATCCCAGGTAAAATGAAGTACGATTTAATTGGTCCTCGTTAAAAAGAGCTATTTTTCTAATATGGAGAAAAGGCCTCATCTTGGGCACTTTTTTTAATTGGGGTTGTATATGCACTGTTTAGTCAATGTTTAAAAAAGACTCCGGGCCTTATTCTTTCATCATATTTTCTAATAAGGATAAATAAATAGGATGAATAATGCGATCGGTCTATCCCTCGACCTCTGAAAGACCTCAGCAGCGAAATGATGTTTCAAGCTCCTTTCGTCACATCCAATATGCACTGCCTTTCAGCTCTCCCGCAGCCCAAACAAAAGCCATACAACAATATCAATTAATCATGCAGCAGGCAAACAAGGAGATTTATTCCACTACAAATAGCCTCACAGAGAGATGCTGAATGGGCTTGATTAGCATGAGAAAAGAGGAGCAAAACTCCACAGTTCAACAGCTAAAGAGCAATTTGATGGGGCTGGGATTGGGAAATTACTTGATTAGTGTCTGTCGGAGGAGAGAGCACGATTAGGACGCGAGTCCCAGCCCCGCCGCCGGGCCGCGGCGATGGGGGGCTCGGGGCGTCCTGGCTGGGCGGGGGGGGCAGATAAAAAGGAGGGGAAATAAAAGGATTTTTTTTTTTTTTTTTTTTTTTCTCCCCATAAATCCCGAGAAGCGCCGGGAGACTCCGCTCCCCCTCCCACGCAGCCCATTCGGGTAATTTCATTTACCCCGCAAATCTAATTAGTAATCCGCGGATGACATTAATACCGATATAATGAAGCCTGTGATGACCAGATTAGCAGGCGCGCACTGATAGCCTTAAAGGCACATCGCACCTTGGCATCCTCGGGGCCCAGGCGGGGAACGGCGGAAAATCTTGCTTTAAAAAAAAAAAAAAAAAAAAAAAAAAAAGGCGGGGTGGGGGGGAGAGAAAAACACGAGCAAAACCCGCACAGGTCGGGTTTAGCGGCTCAAGCGTTTATGAAGGGAGTCGGCGCTTTGCTGAGCACAGTTTATCCGCCAGCACCGGGCCCCGGCTGCCCGTCTTCCCGATTTATTCCCATAATATTGTTCTGCAAAGGAGAAGAAGGAGGTGAATGGGGGGGGGGGGGGGGGAAGAGGAGAAAAAAAAAAAAAAAAAAAAAAAAGAAGCCAGAGCCAAAAGAGTCGCTCTGCAATTTATTCCAATGGGTGGCTTTTAAGAAGCTGGCAATTTGAGACGGCTGGGTGTTATTTAGTGCAATATGAAATCAAATGATCCTATTTCTCAAATAACAGTGTCTGGGAGGAGAAGTGAATGCTCTGAAAAGGTAATTGTCTCCTGATGATATTTCCATTATACCCCAATCCCGGCCTAAATGCTATCAGCGCCGGGCTGAAATCGATACGGCGGGATCCCGCCCCGGGAGGGAAGGGGGGAAGCCTCCCCGACACTAACGCCCCGCGGTCTTTGGGGGAAAAGCCTACTTTTTTTTTTTTTCTTTCTTTCTTTCTTTTTTTTTTTTTTTTTTTTTTTTTTTTTTAATTTTTGTTTCCCCTTGCCCCCGCAGAGCCGTGGTTTGCTGGCCGTGCCCGGGGCGGGCCCCGTCCCCGCCGGCCGCGGAGGAGCCGCCGCGCCGGAGCCGAGGTAAGGAGCGCGGCAGGACCCTGCCCGCGGCGGGGGGAGCCCCGGGGGGGGGGGGGGGGGACGAGGCGACTCTGCGGGAGAAACCTCCCGGCTTGAAACCGCCCCCCCTTCCCCCCCCAGCCCTTCGCCCGGCTGTGGCCCCCGCGAAACGTCCCGGCCCCTGGTTCGCTTCGGCGAGGGGGGTGAGCGGGGGCTGGCAGGGCCGAGGTGCCGCGACCCCCCCCCCCCCCCCCCTCCTCCCCGCCCCGCCGGAGCCGCAGCCCCTCGCACGGGGCTGGGAAAGAAAATCCGGTCCCTTCCCGGATCGGGGCAGCCGGTTACCAACCGCATCGTTTTCCCCGCCACGAAAGCCCGGTCTGTCGGGCGTCGTGCCCGTCCCTCCGCCCCCGGAGCAGCTTTCGGGGTGCTCTGACCCCCCCGCTGCCCTCGCGCCCACTCGAGTTTCAAGCCACACGGCCAGCCCCCGGGGCGCGTAAAGCCGCTGCCTTCCGTTATTGATAGTTATTGCCGGTCCCAGCCGCCCAGAGACGCTGGAAAAGCGGCGGGGATGAGCCCGGAGAGCGGCAGCGTTTGGCAACGCTCCCCCGGAACGCCGCTGCCTCTGGATTTTGTGAAATACCTTGATTTTTTTTTGAACGGGACCGAGCGTCCCTTTCGCCGGCCGTTACGTACCCGCGCTGCCGAAATGATAAAATCGCCAGAGTTAAATCACTAGAGGGAAACGACGGGGGGGGGGGGGGGGTGGGGGGGGCGGGAAGAGAAACGAAGGCGGTGAGCCGGAGGAAGAAGCAAAGCGAGCGGGACCTACCTTGCTCCGCTCCCGCCGCGGCAGCCCCCGCGCTCCCCTCGGACCCGCGGGGCGAGCGGCGGGTTTGCAGCATCCACCAACGTGCCTCTCGGCGCTTCCCCCCCACGTCGCGTTTCGGGTGGAGGGGATTGTCCTTCGGTTGCTTGCTTAGAGCTGGGGGGGGGCGCGTTGGGTTGCTTGCGTTTTTGTTTTTGTTTTTTTTCTCTCTTCCTTTCTTTTTAAGCCCCTTCGCCAAAGCGGCGGTGACGGGGGCTCGGTGTGGCCCCGGTTCCCGGTGCGGAGATGTCGCCGATTTCGCCCTGGCCTTTGGCTAATTGCTGCATAATTGCAAGGAAAGGGCCGGGCGTTCATGCCAGCGCCGGGCAGGCTGGCAGCGCGTCCCCGGGCACCTCGGGGCGCAGCAAATAAATGCACTTCTGCATCTAAAAAAAAAAAAAAAAAAAAAACCAAACCTATATATGTATATGGCGAGTAGAGTGTTTTAATTGAGCAATCCTTAAAAAGCTGACTGAATGGTTGCAATTGTCTCCGCTGCGCCGGGAGGGGGGCAAGAGCTCGCCTTTCGGTGTGTTACAGCCGAGGTTACTCGGGGCTGGCCCTGCTGCGGGGGGCGGGGGGGCACTGGGGGGGCAGCCTGGGACCACGGTCGGATGCTCAAGTGTCCCTTCCGTGTGTGTGTCCCCCCTCTAGGGTCTGGTACTCTCCCAAGGGAAACAGGGCACCCTCCGGGCCACCATCCTGCGCCCAGAGAGGTATGTGTGTCTGCAAGGGATCAGAACCTTTTGGACCTTGAGCCTGTCAGGCAGCCCAGACCTTTGCTGTTCACAGGTCCCACCTGCATCCCCCCACCGACAGGAGGATTTCCTCAAAAGCAGATCCAAAATGAATTTTCAAGCACTGTCTAAATGCACTGCTGGAATATTTTTCCATCTCAAGCCATTTTGCCGGCTTCTGCTTCAGGTTCCTATTTGTTTGGCACAATTATTTACTGTTGCCTCTACTAAATAGAGTGCAGAGGGCAGGGCCCAGTGACACCAAGCTCTGAGCAGACACTGTTTAATTAATTGAATACTCTTAAGCTTTTCAAATGAATGAACAGTTTATACGTATGGATCCTTTCATTCATCACCAGAACAATCGTCTGCAGAGGACAGAGGGGAAAATGCTTAATGAATCACAGAAAACCAGCATGGTGGTTTAGGACAGGAAGTGAAAAATACCGTGTTCACTTGAAACTGGATTTCAAAGAAATTAGAGAATTCAGAGAAGCAGCATCTAGTTATTACCCCATGTGAAATTTGGCCTGACTGTAGACAGTGCTCTGCTAAAAAGAAAACCATCTTTTCCAGCACTTCGTAGGGTCCAGACATTCAGCTCCAAGCCTCAGGCAGAAGTAAAAATAAAATGGAGACCGCAACCAAACAGTGACCAGAAATCAGTTCAGGTTTACACATAATTCTAGCTCAGGGGAATGCATTTATTTTCCACGTACATCGTTGCTGCTGCTGTTTTGCTGCTTCGCTGGCTTTTGTTTTAAAGAGTCACTGATGATTTGCAAACATTCATGCTGAAATATAAACATCTTTAACAGGGTTTAAACATTCTGGTTTAGGGTAGCAAGGGATTCTCAAGAGAGCCTCTGTTTGTCGCTGTCTAGAGAGCAGCATCTCGCTACCCGTGCCGCTGGTTAGGCACAGCCCTCGGATCTCATTTCCCTTGCCCTAAACAGCACTAAACTGCCAGGCTTGCCCAAGTGCTCCCCTTTGTTTCAAACCCTTGTAGCTTGGAGCACTTGTTGAACCTGACGACAAGTGCATCAAAGTGGCTGACAATTACGAAATAAACAAATATCGTTTGAGGCATTTTGAAGCAGAATCCCGCAATACATAGATTAGCTTATTGATGTTGTTATCATATTGAATATTATTCATACTTCTGATATTTCTGCTGCGCAGCAACATTCCCTGCTCAGTAAACATCATATTATCTCACTATGCAAAAGGCTTCATTAATCAAAACAGACAATAGGCCAGACGCTCTGCCTTTGAGTCTGGGGTTTTGGATCTTCCAGGCTTTTTACCTTGTGTAAATGCCTTGTCCCTGTCAACACAGAAAGCAACTCTTCAAAACAGATCACTATAAAATGCGGTGCTAAAAGGAAAACATTATCTAATTCAGTTAAAAGACTTTCCCGGTTATTTTATATTTTCCCTTTAATTTTTTATGACTTGTAGAAGAAAAACTTTTTCAGTATTTCATTCAGAGATTAATCCACTCATTTGTTAAAATACTAATTAAGGGGCCTGATGGCTCTCTGTCCTTTAAACAGCAGCAGCAGCGAGTGCTGAGATCAAGAAGGATGGAGCTGCTTGGCCAAGCCGTGGTTGCGCTGCCAGCCTTGCTCGTTGGAGATGGGGAACGGACGGCGGACGGGGAGCTGGCAGTGACGTGGCCATGAAGCTGCTGTCCAGAAGGAGAATCCTGGTAAAAAAAGTGGCATGGTCTTGGCTTGGTGCAAAGGACCACGCTTTGAAGGCGAGGTAGGATGCTTGTGCATCTAGGAAAATGTTGGGGTGCAAAACCTCTATTTTGTAGGCCCACTGCAGCATCATGAGCATACGGCCGTGTGCTGCGGGCGCCGAGAAGGTGCTCGGGCACACAGAGTTGCTCTTTCCTCTGGAGATCGTGGCAGATTTGAACCCCGTGATGGACGTTCTCCGTCCCACGATTTATAAGGAAGCAGCACCGTGGGCAGCCGTGGCCCGCGGTGATCGGCGGGCTCTGCCTCGCCCCGGGCCACGGTGCGCTGGGTCGAGCTGCAGCCTTGCCCGGCCCAGCAGTGCTCCTGCTGCGGGACCCGCGCGGGCCGCGCTGGCGTCGAGTTTGGCTGCCTGCTTTTGAGCCGTTTTCTGCTTTCTTTTTTTTGGTTACTGCAGGCCTGAAAGAGACATTCCATAGTGGTCCAAAATAGCCTTTCCTGCACAGAGTCACATCAGAACTGTTTCAGATAGAGCAACAGAAATGACGGTAGTGGTTGCGCAGTGTGCTCCGGAGTGTAAGGCATAGATAATTTCAGAGAAGACAGGAGTAGAGTCTTTTGACAGTCTGCTGTGAGTGGCCTCATTCAAATTCAGCCTCTTGTCTCACATCTCAGAAATCCTAAATTCAGTTCTCATTTCTCCAGGGACACGGAAACTCAACACCGTCAATCTCCTCTTTCCTCTCCAGACAACAGCAGACACTTACATGGAGACTGGTTAATTCCTCCTGTCTACATCTCAGAAACAGAAGTGACCTTGAATTATTGGGAAAGCAGAGAGGCCCGAAATCTCCTCGACATCCTCTCCAGATCCTTGGCCTTGGAAAAGCCCAAGTCAGGTCATACCTGATCCCTTCTGGTCTTGGAGCCTCATACGCCGCGTAGGAAACTCGAAAAGCACTTTGAGATGGTGGGAGAGGAGGGATACTTCCTAGCAAACGGTCTCTAAACTGGTCCCCTCCCTGTGCCATGGCATTTCTGTGGCTCATTAACAACGTGGAGCTGTAAACAGTGACATGTGCTTGTATCTAAATTCTCCAGGATTAATTCAGAACTCATTGACAATGACATTACTAGAGACTTTTCAATTATGTCAACAGGCTTTGGATAAGGCCCTTACATTCTTAATAAACATTATATAGTTTTAAATGCTGTAGACTTGTTCTTAAGTTTTTTATTTAATCAGCCTTTATCTTTGGCTTCTGTGCTAACAAGTTCTTGTTGGAGGAACTCATTTCACCTGTCCTGTCGACAGCAAAAACTGCCTTCTTCAGTATGACAATGTATTTTCTATTTATGCATCAGAAACGAGTAATAATAGGCTTCAAGGAACTGTAACATTTAATAAAAGCATTTTATTACATTTAAATTTATTAAAATTTAAACATTAAATTCAACATGTTAATTACTGTTTCCATGCATTGACACTGACAGTCAGAAATGGGTCCACACAACTGCTCTGCTGAGATATGTTCACTGGTGTTATTTGCTCTTTGATTACTAATGTATTATTAGTGCTCTTCATTTGGGACTTGATTCATTAACAAAAAGACTTATATGGGCATTATGTAAATTTTTTGTATGTCTTTTGCATAGCTACCAGGGCATGTATTATGAATGTAATTGAAAAGGAAAAAAAAAAAGACAAGAAAATGTATTCTGTTCTGTCCTGACTTGTGGGCAAGCTAAAATGTACAGTCGCTCTCAGAAGTCAGATAAGCACAGAGAGGAAAAACCTCTTTTCGTTACATCACAGTCTGTGTTTCTGCAAATCCCTTTCCAGAGAAACGACGCACACAGGCCAGCCTGCTGTGTTTTGCCAGAAACAGCAAAATGGTGGCAGTGAAATGTTCAGGCCCCTTCACAGATCTCATCTGCGTGCCTGCTGTAGACATCGGTGCTTGCAGCTAATCACCCCTTTCGGTTTTAATCAATGATTTCTCTTTAATGCTTTTGCAGTCTTGATTTGGTTTATTGTAATCCAGATGTCATCGAGCACTAGTTGTATATCTCACGTTAGGTGAAACTTAGCTAAAATCAGAGAGGGCCCTTAATGCAGCAGTGTGGGTGGGGGGGTTATGCAGAGGCTAGTGGGGGAGGCTTTGTCCTGAGATACCCTACATGAGGACACCAACAATTTCTGCACTCTGTAAAGAGTTTCCCATCTTTCTGGGACTGCATGGATGTGGGTCCAGGCTGGAGCAGCCCCTTTGCAGCGCCTCAGAATCCTCCAGGCTCTGGCCTGGGGAAGGTGCCCCGCCAACGGCTGCGGACGTGCTGCAGGGCCCAGCCCTGTGGTGCCTGTCAGTGGTGGGATGTGGGGTGACACCAGGGCCCCCCAGCCACAGGCTGTCTCTGGTGGCATGCGTTGTCAGTCCCTCGCCCCCTTTTTTTCCCCTACAATTTTTTTTTTTTTTTTTTTTTTTTACTTTCTTCTCTTTCTCCCATCCTTTTTTTCTCCCACAGGTGAGCACCCTGCGGCCAGAGACTCATCACAATGATATGAATTCTGCACCTTCCAGGATACTGTTACACCTCCAGAGGAAAGCAGAGTGCTCAAAGCACACGTGGTTTCCTCCCTAAATTAAAAAGAGTGTGTAAAGCTGTTAAAATTAGTGCACATCAATCCCTGCATTTGAATCGAGAGATACTTTCGTTTGCAAGCTATTGGGGAAAAAAAACATCATTTCATTCAAAGTGTATTTAATAAGACAGAAGGAGACATATTTCTTTGACAATTTTCCAGCTCTTATCAGATTACATTAAAATTGAATTAAAACAATCTAAAAGAAGTGTTAAGTACTGAAGGGAGAACACAAACAAAACACTCCTCTTTGTAGGCTTTCAGGGATAGGGTACTGATGTTAGTTAACAGGGATGTGAGTAATAAGATTATTCTTGAGTCAATTATGAGCCCTTCAGTGTCAGCGTGGGGGATCGGTACCTCAGAGGGGAGCACATGCCCTGCACTGAGGCCAGAAGGGCGAGAGGAACAAAGTGGGAAACGGACTGGGGGTTCCAGGCTAAGGTGACATATTTCCTTATTTTTTGTTTAATAAAGCATCAGGGTGTTTAACCCTGTCTGCTTTTCTTTCTTCTACTTTTGCTTTCCTTACAGTTTTTTTCCTCTCCTTTGTGCTGCCCACAGTGCTGGGACTGGTGAGGCCAGCTTAGCACTGTCCCCATTAGCGTTACACCGCCTTACCCCCGCTCCAGTTACCCCAGGTGGAGATCAGCGCCTTTCGACTGAAACCTGAAAATCTTGGTTTGGGAATAAGGTTTTCCAGTATGTACATATAATGACTACTTGTAATTTTAGATGACACTAGAAGCGCTTGAAAGTTTTGATATTATTTTAGCAAGCACAAATATTTTTGAAAGCAGTTTAGTCTTCCAGAACCAAACCTGGTATGTCACTGGTACAGGCTTAAGAAAGCCAGATTCTTTGCATGTTTTTAAAAATAACAAATTTGTAGTATATGAAAGTGTTTTCTTGTTCAAACACCATAGAGCCTCTCAGTTTTCTGCACTGACAATCAGCGATGCATTCAAAATATGTGTCAGCCCGACAGAGCGCGTTTCATGGCTGACATTCTGAAATAACAAGTTTTTAGCATCTCACTTTCATGTCAAAGGGCAGACTATTTATTTTGTCATAGATATTAGCAATCAGAGCTGTTATGAGGGACCTTCTGAGGGGGGGAAAAAAAAAAAAGGCAATTTAACTATGAAGCAACTATGAAAACCTTTTTATTTCCATTTTATCTGCCCCCATGATACAAAGGCTCCAGAGAAGTCTTAGTACTACAACTAACTCTCAAACTAACTCTCAAGGAGGGCAGGGGGATTGTGTCTGCAGCCGAGATGCCCAAGCTCCATTTTTTTCCCCCACATACTTTTAAAAGAAATGGCAAGATGTGGTGGACCTGGGTTCCAAAGTTGGGATCTGGGGAAAAAATGCCCAACTTTAGAAACTCAGGCAAGCTGAGACCCAGATTTCACCTGTTGGCTCTTGTGAAGATGTGAACTCACACTGTGATGGAGGTCTTCATAAGACGTCTTTGCTTCCAATAAACAGAGGAGTGAGAAAGCACAGTACATCTTTTATTATGAGTGTTTTATGTGAATTCAGTAATAAAAGGCTCCCAAATCTGCAAATCCTATGTGTTTTCTTGAGTAGGTAAGCTCTTGCATGAGCTAAAGCCGTCCATATCTTATTGAGCCATTTATTTATAGTGGATACGCAAAGGCTAGGCCAGACAGCAGCTATGGTTATTCAAGTGACAGAAGCTAATTTGGGGGCTCTTAAGTACTGCTACATCAATTCAGCAAAGCTTTTTACTTTACATTTAAATTCGGTTCATCCAAGTTGGAGGCTGAAGGTGTCAAAAAGCACCAGGAATGCTGTCGCACGACACCAAAACCTGGCAGTGGAACTCCGACCCATGGGATGGGGCCGCCCCACCGGAGCCCAAAACTTTGTCCTGATGCTCTGGAGCCTCCCAAACCCGCCGGCGCTGGCACATGGCTCGAGCTGTGGCCTCAGCTGTGGCGCCGCTACCGCGCAGCTACAGCCGGCGCTGTCATGTGGCAGTTGTCCGACAGGAGTTCTAATGAAGGGTAATTATGATGATGATCTCGTACTAATTGTATACTGATTGCTGTTCTAATTATGTTTAAGCATTTCACAGCTATCCGCAATTTTGTCTATTAATGTAGCATTTCTTCTCCGTAAATTCAAATATTCTAGCAGTATTTCAACTTTTTCTACAGGGGTCCTGGCCTCTAAACACTAATTTGCAAGATTCCTTTCATAGGGATCTGCATTTTTATCTGAAAATTAAAAAAAAAAAAAAAAAAAAAAAAAGTTATTTTCCTTTTCTACTTTGTTTACCAGCTGGAGATGTAAATGCAGGGTTTGTCAGGGCTGCTCCAGTGCTCACTTGAGGTGTGGCTTTTTCCACTGACAGGATTTTGGTGAGAGGGCATTAATAAGCTCTGCCAGCTAGACAAAGTGGCAATTCAGAGAAGAAATCAGGAATTTTATCCAGGTGCTTGATTCCTATGCAAATGGAAAGGGGCCACTTGCATTTTCTGTTTTTGTTTTGTTTTTTCTTAAAATCATAGTGTACAATGAACTCAGTAAAACCAACTGTTAAAGAAGGGAGGGTTTGCTTCCGTAACTGTTCAGCAGCTCTCATTTATTTTTGGAATGAATGCCCCAGCGCCTCGCCAGGTCCCCATTTACTCCCTTTCCCAGAGGCACTGCGATTTCTGCCCTGCCCCAGGTTACCCAACAGGCTGGGGCCCAGCTCTCCTCAACACCCGTCTTGGAGGTTTGACTGGGCACCACACCCGTTTTAACCGCTGTAGGAACACCTAAATTAACAGGTTTAATAGCACTGTATTAACAGATGAGGGGCCAATTTGGGAATAAACGCTTCTAATCTCAGCCTGGGCGGCGGCAAGCCGGACCGCCTCACGATGGCGGAACACCCCCCCCGCCCGCCCCGTCCCCATGGCAACGCGGCGGGAGGGGGCGGAGCTTCCGGGGCGGGGCGGCCGCGGTGCACGGCGGGAGCCGTCGCTTTGGCCACCGGCGTAAACAGCGCGGGATGAGCGGGCCGGGCCCGGCGGCCCCCGGCTCCCCCCGGCGCCGCTGCCCGGGGCTCGGCAGCCTCCTGCGGCGCCTCCGCGACAGGTGAGGACACCGGACGCCCCTCCGCCGGGCCCCGCCGACCGGGAGTTGGCCGCGTTGGGTCAAGCCCCTGCGGCCTCCGGCGGGCCTTACCCCCCCCCCCCCGCCCCCGCCTCCCGTCCATCAGGGCCCCTTCCTGAGGGGGGGGTGAGGGGCGGGCGGCACCCGCGGGCTCCCCTCTCCGCGCCTCTGCCGTGGCGGCGAGGGGCCAAACCGCCGTCTTCGCCCCGGCTCTCCGCCCCGCGGAGCGGGGGGGGGGGGGACACGCGGGTGCCGGCAGCCGCGGCGGGGGAGGCGGGTTCCCACCTGCCCGGGGATGGGGCAGCGCTGCGCGCCGGGAGAAGCGGCGTGGGCTGCTCTGGGGGCGTTGGCAGCTGGGGGCTTTCTAGGGGTGGAATAGTCCCGGGCCCCCCAGCAGTGTCTCGGAGAGGGCGCTTTTGCCCCCCCTCCTTCTGCTGCATCATCTGCTTTCAGCTCATTATGTGTTGGCGGGCGGGGGAACGCCGAAAGCTCGCTCACCGGTGACACCTGATTCCGGTGTGTGCGCTGGCTGTGCCGTGTGGCAGTGTGTTAGCACGTTGCGTGACTTTTGAAAGTGCCCTGGACCTGTTACTGTTGCTCTGAGAAGTTCTCCTGAAGCACTTCAGGCAATAGTTACAAAATTGCTTGTTACTTTAAGTAAACAATATAGATGCTGCTATTTCAGAGCTGGCTAGTTGATGAATGGGCACGGCACTTACGGATGTTTCTCCTACAGACTTCTTTTTCATCTCTAAAAAAAGTTATTTTAGGTGTTTCAATTTATGGGTGCTTCAGGGGGACCTGGCTTCAGGAAAAAAGCAAGAGGCTGTGGTGATGCAAGCTTTCTGAAGGGGCTTTGGCCTGAGGGATCTCAGTCGCTGGTCAGTTCCACTGAAGCTGTGTGCAATTAGTGATGTTCCCGGGCTGTTACTCGCTGCAATAGCCACAGTAATTGGTGTCAATTAGCACTTTTTTTCTGGCCGGAGGAAGTCTCTCGAAATCATTTGTGGTATACTGTTATGAAGTTTCTTTTTAAGCAGTACCTGTTTTCTATGTAATATACAAGAGTTAGATTTCTGGGTCTCATGCCAGCATCTCAAACATACAGTATTAGCAGAAATAATAACACCATGGCTGTGAGAATCGAAACTTGCATTTAGATACTGCTTTGACAAAAATGCAGTGTATATCTTTGCCAATATCCTGTTCTGGTCTGGAAGACCAGTGGCGAACAAAACAGGGATAATTTGCTGTTTAAAAGACTGGATAAGAGTATACAAAGTATACTTTTGTCGTATAGAAATTATTAAAGATGTGGGCCCTAGATAAGGGAGGACACTTTATCTAAATTGCAGCATTAGAAAATTAAGGGAGAGGGCAGATTAAAATCTGAGTGTTCTAGACTGCATGCTGCTTTAAATTATGTCTTTGTGTGCAGATATCCCTCATGTTAGGAGTAGAGATGTCTTATGATTCCCAAGAGCCTGGTCTGCATGAAGTGTGGTCACCTCTGTTGTAGCTTCTCTGGTGTCTGAGCTAGTGCACAAATGGACTACCCCTCTTCAGCTCCTCTGGGAACATAGTACATTTCAGACGCCAGCTCCTCTAATTCAATTGCACCAAAATATACAGAAGTTTTTTAGGAAAGGGGAAATACAGTTAGTATAATTGCATAAGTTGTGCTTCCTTTGGAGACACAGTTTAACAGGTTTTGTGATAATAAATAGACCTTTTCTGCTCAGTGTACTTCTGTTGTATGTACTTTAAAATAAAAGATGTATTTATACTTGGTGATGTTGACAAACAAGGAGTAATTCTTATGCCAGACCGCGAGGTTGTATGCTGCTGTTGCCTCTGGGAATGTTGCTGCACGGGCAGTTGCCTCTTGAGATTTTCTCAAAGTGATACCTTTTATCTAAACCACCTTTTAAAGTGTAAAATAGAAACCTTTTGTTAAATCACTGGTGCATTTTGGCTTTTTAAGTCCCGTTTTGGACTCCTGCACTGATCTCATTTCAAGTCGCCTGTTCCAAGGCCTGAAGTACCCGGCAGCAGTTTCACTCCTGACTGCAGTCCTGCTCTGGGCTCGCAGTTGCGCTTAAGCAAACAATGAGCCATTGCTGAGAGGCCGTATGTGCAAGAGCTTGAATATGGTGGAGGAAGCTGCTGCTTGGTTATGTCCCGTCCCCCATCTGACCCTTGGTGAACCAGAAGGGAGTTCTCATGAATATTTCTTTTCCTCCTGTTCTCATAAATCTGTGTGGTTTTTTTTTTTTTCTTTAAATACTTGAATTATGAAGTGCTTGAGAAAGTAGCCATCAGATATTAAGCTTCTGATAAACAGTCAACATGGACTGCCTCGAGACTTGTGCAAAAACCCACATAACTCTACCATAAATTACATGTTAGACTTCACTGGCCACATTTTATTTCCTAATGCTGGTACTTCATTCAATCTAAATGTAAAAATTACTGCATGCATAGGTCTCTGTATGCAGGTCAGTGGTATCTATTGTGTGCAAAATTACAGAGAATTAGGTTTAAGATAACCAAGGTAATAAGTGAAACGGGGCAGAGTGTTTGCCTTCTGTGTTTTATACGGACTTGACAATGTTGTGATTACTCAGCACTTAATCTTCACTGGTGGCTGGTGAGAAAGGCAGTGTTTGAGTGGTGTGGGCGATGAAGTAAATAAATTATATAGTTAAGTGCTGTACTTAACACTGTGACTAACGCTGCAATTAGCTTCGCTTTTCAGGCAGTGAGGCCAGATGCTTCACACTAAGGGCGATTTGCAGTAAACCTGTACAAATACTGAGATGTCCTGAACAGAGAGTGTGAACCAGGTAGGATTACTAGTTCCAGAAATAACTGCTAGTGTCAGTTGTACGTAGAAGATGGTGCTGAACAGGCCCCCTCTAACCCACCCTGCCCAAGGGACCAGTGCAGTTGGCTGAGGCTTGAGCAGGCTCTGGCCAGACTCCAAGCTAGTAAGGTGGATGCAGCTCAGCGCTCAACAGTTGATTTAACGTCAGATTGGTGTAGAAAATGAACTGTAAAAATAACATTTCTTACTTTTATGGGAAGATTGCACTGTGCCCAAGTGTTGCGCAATTTTCTATGTACTTATCTCAACAGGGTATCATGACAGGAGTACTGTTATTCCTACATTATGGATGCGGAACTGAAGCACAAAGAGACTAAGGCCTGGTATCTCAAAAAATATTGAGGCATCGTTGTCCTGCTGGTTTAAATGGGAGGTGAAGGATCAAATATTACTACAGATCGATGCCTGGTGAAATGCCAGAGATTAGAGGGAGCTTGTAGCTGACCAGGGAATTTAATTTTGTTCTCAAACCTCAAACTAAGACTCTGTAGACTGAAGATTCAGGGTTTTTTGAAAATGGGCCACCTGGATCCTTAAAAAGTGCTGAAGTGTGCAATTTTTGCCCATTGAAGAGAAAAGTTGATAACTGTGCTGTTTAACCTAATGCAAAACTACGTGAACAAATAACATTTTCTGGCAGAGCGCTTTGTTTTTTCATGTAAAAAAGGAGGTGATGGTGCACTGGAGTGGCCAGAATGATCCCTGGACTGCTTCAAGCTTCTCTGCTGTTACTGACACAAAGCAACTGGGCTGGAACCTTCCTTGCCAGACCTGGGCAAGCAAACCTACAAGTCAAGTCCTGATTGCCTCTAATTCAGTGCTTGGGCAGAGCTGTGTTGCAAAACACCACAAGCTGCGTGGTAACCATTTTAGGCATCTGTAGTGATGATACTCAAATGCTGAGAGGCTCTTACCTGGTGTTTTATACTGCTTTGAGAAGTTTTTATACTTGCCTCAAGAAGACCTTGCTTATATATTCATGTGCTGTCTAAATAGCTGTAGCACAGATTAATTAATGGGATACTGAAAAGCCATGCCGGGGGAAAGGGCGTGATCTTTTGGGAGCTGAGGAATGTGATGTGCTACCTGTGGTATTGGAGAATGAGAAATAGGATTGGAGCCAATGGCTGTTTATGTCCATCGGCTTTTACATCCATCAGGATATCAATGTTCTTCACCGAGTCATGAAAATTACTTCTAGAAGTGTAAAAACAAGATCTTGAAATCTGCTTTTGCTTAGCTGTCTATCATGTAAAAGGAAATTGAAAGGATGAGATCCCAGATGAAGCGTGGCTTTTAAATTGCATACATGACATGAAAACCTAATCTTGTTTCAGACAGTGGCAGGATCAGATGGGTAAAATGGATGCCTTGATCTCTCAGACTAAGAAGCAGAAAGGGTTTTTTTTTCCCTTGCTTTCCTCTGTGCAGGGCAACTGGGAGGAGGCAAATGTGTGTGGCTGTGACAGACACGTTTGTAGAAGAGTGCCCAAGTCCATAGATAGCATGCTTAGCCATAGAGGTACATGCTGTCTCGTGTACCTGCACATGTCACTCGCACATGTACAGCCATTCTGGCTAGTAAGAGTTTATTTTTTAATAAGCAACTTGGTGAACTTGCTTTGATTGTTGCAGGGTTTCTAATGTGAGTCTACTGGAAGCCTCTGTCTTATCAATTATTTTTTTTTTTTTGTTCATGGGATGGTTGCTCATCTTCAGATGCAATTTTTAATAATTAAATAATATTAGCTTTACTCTTTTCCTGAAAATAGATTCTCTTTGAAATAGATTGTAGGTGAGGTATAGAGTTTGTTCTTAAGCAGTCTGATCATCCCTGTGGGCTTATACCCTTGCATTGTTTTTGACAGATATAGATGTCCCCATAGCATTTTCACAGTCATAAATATTTTTGTTGATTACTTATATTAGTTACCCTTCAGTAAATTCTGGTAGGTAGTGCTAGCATATCTCTCTGCGTACTTGGCTTTAATTTACAAGTGTGAAATATGTACTTGATTTTTAGCTTAACTATTTAAATAGAGTATTGGGTTAGCATGTTGGGTCTGTAAGCTGGGAAAGAGTTGGGATTTTTTGGCAGTCCACTTTAATGTGTTGCTATGTGCCTATCAGAAGTTCTGGGGAGCTGTGCATGTGAACAAGTTCAGCTAAGTATTTCCTGCACTGGAAGTGGTCTGCTCTGGGACTTGGAGTAGGGAAGAAAGGGAGAGATGAGCTCATGACAGTCCCCCTGGAGCTGCAGGAGGAAGGGACTCAAGACAGTATTTGAAGCTGGGCAGAAGTCTCTGCCTTTTTGGTGGGTCTTGTGTGGATATACACATATTCAGGCTTCTTTTCCCATTAAAACAACCTAGCTCTTGTTCCCATGAGGAACAAAGAGAAAAGTAAAAGCTTTGAGGATTGGGGTTTTTTGGTGATAAGCTTGGCTGGCAGATCAATCTGTACATCTACCAATCTAACAAAAATATGCTCTCAGCTCTGAGAATTTTATTCTGTAAAATGCTTTATTTCTTGCATTTTGAGAATTTAAATTGTGAAATCGTGTTATCTTACTCTGTTGTTTGTTTTCTTTCAGTGAAGCCAAAAGGCTGGAATTAGAAAGAAAGCTGATGGAATACAAGAAGTCTGATGCATACCTGTAAGCCTATTTAAAAGCTTCTTATAGGTTATTTTATTTCAGTTACAAAGACTTAGGTCTCATGGAATGCTTTTAGAATGTTATCTTGAAGTTTTTTTGTAACAACAAATTTATAAATATATGTGAAGTATAATGCAAGATTCATGCCTATAAGTTATTGATGAAGTTATTTCATCAATAACATAACTACCTTACTCCATTAATACTGAAATGTTGCGTGTTCATAATAACTAACGTGGAAGTTGGTTTTACGCCAACTTTTACAAAATCACTGTGGCATAGTTCATGCTAGAAAGCCCTAGGGTCTTAGAAAGTCTGAAAGTTTTAGGAAGTCCTAGGGGATATTCTAGGTTCTAGTCCTGTTCCTTGAATTGTTTCTGCATGATCTATTTAATGTAAATTGCATATCTAGTCTGTACAAAAACAAACAAACAAAAAAAACCCCAAACTAAACCAAAAAAAAAAAAAAAAACCAAACACCAAACCAACAACAACAACAAAAAAAATCACAACAAAAAAAAACAAACCCAGACACTAAGTAACAAATCAAAGGGGGGTGGGGAGGAACCAACCAACCAACCACAACAAGAGAGCTGAAAAGTTTCTCATTCACTGTTCCATTCCTTTCCTCGGATATGTTTTGTAAAGCTCATAAGAGTGACTCCTGTATTGGCTTAAGGGACTGAGGGCTAAGTGCAATAGTGGCCAATCCCTTAGGAACGTTTCTTCTGAAAGAGGGCCTTTCAATTAGAAAATGAAGATGTAAATTAAAGAGAAAAAAAAAAAAAGCCTGATCAGGAGGGGAAGTGTGACATGTACTTTGTTTTCTGGTTTTATTTGATTTATTTTAATCTAACAGTTTTTGAACTGAAGTTTCTCTGAAAATATTGGCAGCTTGGGGGATTTAGGTTGCAATTTCACTACTGATATAAGGAGACCTGTAGGCATACTGAGACCAAAAGATGCTCCTGGCTGTTTCTGGTTCACATTTTCCCTTCATTGGCATTAAAGCTTCTGTGGCTGCCCTGTAATCAGATAAGAAAATAGGTCTGGCTGAAAATGAATCTGTGTTTTGGGGGTGTGAGAGCTGGTTTTCAGATGGATTACTCTTGGCCTAATTTGCCATGTGGCCACATAGCAGATAGTATTGGCACAAAAAAAGAAAGGTTTGGAGTGAGATGCCCCTTTTGGTGGCAGCATGGATTTAGGCTGCCTTAAAGCAGTTTTACTGTTACAATCTGTATGACTTTGAGAGCACATTCTTCTAAATACAATTTTCATTTTGATTTAATGTGATACAAGTGACTAAAACATAATCCATTTAAAACAAATTTGTAAGAGTTTTTAATATCCTTTTGAACACCAAACCTTCTGTTCAAATCTGAAGTTATACAAGCAACAGGATATCTGCTATATAATGAGGCTTTGGACAGTTGTACAGAATAATGTCTACTCCTTTTTGGGGACGGGGGGGGCAACTGCTACATAATATGTATGTGTCTGAAGAAAAGTGATTTTTAACAGATGTGTTTGTTTTATTTTCATACTCCTTAAGTACAGTTTCTTTCCTCCCTGTAGAATGAAACTAAAGTACATGAAGCTGAAAAAATACTTGAAAGAAATAGACGAACGACAAAAAGGAGCTCTTCTGCGAAACCAGCACTTTTTAAAAGAATTCAACCAATTTGAAGCTCATATGAAAACTTCAAGTTTAGAGATGATTCAGAAGATGGAAGTAACTTTCTTTAAGACTTAATACCTTAGTGTTTACTGTTATTGCAGGGTTGCTAACTTATTTTTGTCCGAGTATTATACACATCAAGACTTCAGACATTAATAAAACCTCATCATATGTTTTGGAGTGCTTAAAGTGGTAATGTTTGGGAATTTGAAATTAGTCCAACCTCTGCTAATCTATGATGTAATAGATCCTACTGTTCATGCAGAGGTAGTCAACAACACTTCACAGAACTCTACATTTGGTCTCTGAGTCTCTTAAAAGTGAGGGAGAACAGAGATCAAAAAAATCTGGAAATGGATCATGTGTTTGGAGTGTTAGTGATAAGATAATAAACCAGAATTATCTAGGTTAGACAAAAAGACTTGTCATAGTTTCATAAAAACTTTGTTATAAAACTGTATTTTAGTAAGACTTATTACTTAATAATACCCAAATATACTTCATGGAAGTCATTTCAGGACATTTTTAATTTTGCTGGTGTGAACACCCTAAGGTAGCCCCTTGCTCTATCTTTATTGGCAGAAGAAGTGTAAGAGTAAATAACTTCTGTTAAAACACATTGCTGTGTTATTTAACAGACTAAAGCTGAGCTCAAATGAGGTTGCGCTTAATTCTATTACTAAACAGTCAACTAGCAATACTTGAACAGTGGTAAGAGGAAAAAACTACTTCCTTCAGTCTCCTTCTGTATCACTCAGGTCTTTGGTTTTGGTAACGTTTTTGCATGTACTCAGGGATTTGATTAATGTACCCTCAAAGCTAGAAACTTTGCATTTTCCTTCTGGGCTGGTAAAGTAAAGCCCTGGGTGCGTGTCATCACCTTGTATACTCGAGTTGTGCATCCTAACTGATATGATAGGAGTGTGTTGGTACCAAATGACCACTTTTAGAAGAGCCAATACCCAACAGAATATACTTATTGCTGTCATCTTTGTTATAAAAGACAACTGGAAAGTGCTGCTTTTCATTTCTCCATCAGACAGCCTTGACTGCTGTCAGCTCAAAGGTCTACCTTTGCAAAAGGGGTCTTGTTACTGGCTTTGCTGAATGTCATCAGTTTGAGAATTCATGCTGGGATGAATTATCCTTATGAAAGGGGCTGTCAAACTAGCACATGCCTGTTCTGGTTTTAAACGACTAATTTCTTAAAAATTACTGCAACAGGTAGAAAATGTTCATGGTCATTACATTTTAAAAGAAATCATAAAAGCTCTCATGAGGACAAATGGGAGTGACCATTCAACAACTGCATTAGGCACCCTCTGCTATTTGTTCTGCCTGTTTCAGTTGTTTTAGTCTGTAATTCTCATTGGGGAAACAGTTGTCAAAAGTCAGCTTGACTCTGCACTGTTTTCTCTTTGGAGAGAAGTATTTGTCTTCTGGCAAGGCCCTGCTGGAATCTCTTTCCCCATGATGACTAGAACTGATAATGAAATGGGCATTTCTGTACCTCCAGCATGTAGTCAGTCTACCGTAATATCTTAAAATAGTATGGGAGAAAAAAGTTGCGGAAGTAAAAAAAGCATTTATAGTAATTTATTTTTTGCTGAGATGAAAAGACCTGTTACCACTAGGCCTGAATTGTTGTGATGTTGTGTTGTTTTTTGTTTTTTGTTTTTTTTTTTTTTTTTTACACGGAAGTAAAATTTTATGATTCCCTTAACTTTTCAGTCTTTCAGACCCTCATTTGCAAATGTGCACAGACTTTTTGCTTTTGCTGTTTAGCACTATTGGGGAAAATGGCTTCAGTCTTTTCCTTATGGTTAGTACCAGTAATGCTCTTTGTAGGTTGAAGAGTTACGTTTATATTGCTTTTTTTTTATAATTAGTGCAGAAAGATGAAACTCTTCTGTATTAGTAAAGAGATTTCTGCATGTCTTAATATTTGAAACACACTAGATCATGATTGGTATTTAAGGTTATATAATAGGCAGGATTTTTTAATCCTAGCTCTTGACTTGAGTCCTTTCTGTTTAATAAGTTACTATAAGAAAAAGCCAAGCTTTGAGGATTTTTGAATCATATTTTTAATATGTTGTCTTGCTACTCACTGAAGAACAATGTGGAATGTTGCAAAGTGATACAGCTTGGTAGTGATCTCACATTTTAAAAAATTAAATTGTGACAGGTGCTCATACCACTAATACATGGAGTCAGATTTTTTCGGGAGGTAAAATCTGCAAGGGAAGTGTGTTTATACCTGCTTTCCAAGAGCAGTAGCCATATTCAGAAATATTTGTCAGGGGTTACTTCTGTCCCTCTGCCACTCCTCTTTTTTTTAACTCACTGGAAGCAAGGAGGGTAGGAAGCAAATTAGTGGAAGCATGTTAAGCCCCTGTGATGTGGCACTGACACAACACTTTCGTGTGGCTGTCTAGAACTCAGCTGTGATTGCTTGGTTTTTACTTCTCTGAACCGCAGTTTGAATTAAAACAGAAAGTGTTCAGACTGTGCTATTTTCCTCCCTCTCTCTGCTGTTCAGGGGCACACACAGCTTGATCTGAAACAGTAAGACAGACTGATCCTCTTAAAAGGAGATGTCTAAAAAGCCTGAGTCCAGGTTCCAGAAAATGTGAACATGAAGCAACAACCCTGGATGACAGTGGTACAGGACTGAAAGAAAAGCGTGGGGTGGCTGAGGTGCTCAGGTACACCAAGTGTGTGCAAAGAAATATATAAGCACTTCTGAAAATGGCTAATGGGAGGAAAGAATCGGACTACAACACAAAAACAGGGGCAGTGGAAGGGGAAAAAGTGTAAAATGATGTAGAAGTTAGAAAACAAATAAGCAAACCTTACTTTAAAATATTTTTTGAAACTCTTAATATGCTCTGGAAACACCATGCTAGGAAGCATTATTAGAGCTTAGGCTGAAGTAGGGATTTAGAAGCAGCAAGGTACTTTATTTTTTTTTTTCTTACTGTCTCATTTGGCTTTCACTAGCTTCATCACAGTAAAGGGCAAAACCACAGTTGTATGCAGTTCTTACATTAGAAAAGTTCCTTCCTTTCAATAGATAAATGTATGACATGAAGTGTGAGCCTTTGTCCTCTCTAAAAATCTTCAGTCCATTAACTATGGATGTTGATGTTAGCGCAGTGTCCAGTTCTTTTTGAATCTTCATAAGCTTTCTGTCAAATCAGTGTAATGTGTCAACAAGCCCTATGCAATAATTTTGTACTGCAGCTGAAAAACACACACATGCCACAAGTTTTTTGTTTTTGTTAGTTGCCTTCAATTTAATTGAAAATTTCATTGAAAATCTCCTTGCTTTTGTTGTTAAGAACAACAACAACCAGCTGCCCCCAGACAACTCTTCCCCCTGTTAGCTGTAACTTGCAATGCAGTAACCCTGCCTTCCGTTGTTTGTGTTAAATAGCCCCAATCTCTTCTTTTCTCTGCTCCTGTGGAAGATTCTTATGTATGCTATTTGAGAAGGGGTGGTGAGACCTGTTCCTGTTGATTAACGAAAGGCCAGTAGGTTTGCAGGTCCCTTTCCTGTTTGGGAGGTGGTGTCCTTCACTCCCGTGTGCAGGGCTGGTGATTTGGGGGGCTTGTGGCTCATCCCCCTGTCTTTGGGGGTCAGGAGCTCTCTGGAGAAGATGTAGCTCTTACGGTGGCAGCTGCTTTCGACTCTAACAAACCAACAGGCTGGATGACATCCCATGGTTGCACACCCACAGTAATAAATTTCCCACACAACTGTAGCCCAGCTAGGGCCTGGTAATTCTTTTAAGCCTGTTGGGTCTGGTGGCATTCTCAGAGCAGCTCTTCCTTGCTTCAGCTTAGTAACTTTTTAAAATTTTTATTTAAAGCAGAGCAGGATCAGGGGTATGTTGTGATGCTAGATTTCCCCTGTTGTTTTTAAGGATTTTTTTTTTTTTTTTCCTGAGCAATCCTAATGCACATCACTTTGGCTGGTGGTAGGTTGTTACAACATACTGGTGTAAGTCGCAGTTGTGCCATGGGTTGATCTGCATGCAGGGTTTTCATTCACTGCTTCCATTTTGGTGTTTCTCTGCCATCCATTTTATTTTTTCCAGGTTAGACTATTTTTCTGAGCTGTTGAACAAAGCATAGATTACATATCCTCTGTGTAACAGTTATGAAAAGCAGTTATGAAAAGCTCCCTTGTTGTGGATTGCATGAGAATTATGTAGCATGTAATCATTTAATCTATCATGGAAGTACACAGAAAGAAATTATTACTTTTTTTTTTTTTCATAGAGAATACCCCTTAGGAGTGCTTTATCATAACTATGTGCACAGTTTATTATGTGGCTGTAGCTGACAAAACTTCTTTTATTTCTGAAAGATTCACTTTTTTTCCTGTGTTTGTGTGTCTGCAATTTGTTCAGTAATGTTGGGGAGTATAAGTAAATTCACTTAAGCTTTCAGTAAAATCCAGTAGTTACATTTGAGTTTATTTTGAGCATCTTTAGTTCTCATGCGGTTAGTTTTCATTTCTTGAAATTCATATTTGCAATTTTATGAACAGCTTCCATTACCTGAGAAATAGCAGACTTGCTGAATGCACCATTGGAGTGAAGTGCAGAGCTAGTTAAGTTAATTGTTTTAAAGATTTATTTTCATGCATATTACCTGATGCAAAATAGGTATTGAAGTGCTTTCATTCAAGACCGATGTAACTTGTTATTGGGGTTTACAATTACTAACAAACAGGATTAATTATAGGTGCTGCATGTGCTTGGCTTTTAAGCAGTAGTCCTACTATGAATGCATTACATTTGGTCAATTAAACAATGTAGTGGAGGTGAAGACAGTTTAGGCGGTTGTTTGTTAGTAACACTACAGCAAGTTGCCTTTCATGCTGGGTTGCGCTTTATAACATCTGCCATATATTTTTCCCTATAATAGCTCAGTGAGTTGCAAGATGATGTATGTGAAACACAAACAAATTCTAAAGCTCATTTCCTCCCAAAGTAGTGGAGACATTGTCTGGATACAGCAGAAATTATTTGGCATTACGAATACTAGTTGGGATGAAATAAATTTGAGTCAACAAGTTATTAGTATTTTGTGGGATTCTAAATTACATTAATGAACAAGTGTGTATTAAAAACCTGCAGAAGATTTTGTACAGGCCACGTAATTTGTTTGAGGGAGTGAAAAAAATGGGAGAAAATGGGATTTCTGGCTTTTAAAATATAGTCCAAGTAAAAAATGCTGCTAGGACATTACATTTAAAAGTGCACAATTTGCAAAGTAATATTTGTTAATTTGTGGTAGGGCTTTTTTTGGCCTTCAGTTTTATGTAATGGATTTGTTCACATTTAGGCATGGTATGGAAGAGAAATTAAAAGTGTGTTATCACTTCAAGAGGGTAACTTGTCAGCAGAAGATGACAAGGAAGAAGAATACAATGAGCAGGTAATGCAAAAGAAGTGGGGGGAAATGTGGTTTATTGCACTGTGCTTCCTCTGAGCTGCTGCATGAAGAGGCAGGCATTGCTAAGCAGTCTTTGCACGGGGATTTTTGTTGTGGCATTTGTAGTGTGAAATATTGTTTAGTGCCTAAGTGAAGTAGAATCACCTGGGTAAAAAGTGCAATTATTTCAAGCAAAGAACTAGAATTAAAAAGGGGGGGACAACACTAACTGTTTGTATTCATCTTCATGTTGGTTTTTCTAATTCCTATGCCAAATGATGTGAAAATGGTCTTGACTGAGGAGGAAATATTCTTAATGGATGATATTTTTAAAAATGCAGCAGTCGATTCATGCGGTGTATTTATAATTTTGTGCATTTTGACCTTTTCTCAGAAGAAGCAAAAAGAGATTGCATATCTAAGTAACAGACAAAAAGACTGACAAGGAATACTTAAATATATTCTGCTATATATCTGCAGTAATGCAGGCTTCTAATCCCTCCTCCTATCTCCATATAAATGATACAGTTCAAGACCATAGCTGTTTTCTTCACTAAAAGCAGTAAAGCTCTTTTAGATGAAATGTCTAAAAACATCTTGTAATAACTTGGAGCATGCTGGCAAGAGTAGTCACTTGTGACTATGTGTGAAACCCCCTCAGCTAGTCGATATTGTAATAAGCAAAAATGGTAGCATCACTCCATTATTCAGAAAAGCCAACAGCATGCTTGTCCCTTAGGCTACAGCATTCATTAAGAAAAGCTTACTGGGCTGAAAGCTGGAAACAGATGATAACGGGATATGATTTTCATATTTAATGCATTCCTTGGAAGAGTATGTGTGCTGGAGATTGATAGAAGAATCAACTGCTACTTTACTAAAAGACTTTCTAGTTTGCCCTATAGCTACCGATGGAATCATTCAGCCAAGAAATTAACTTTTTCTCCTTTTACCTGCTTTATATATCTGCTAAGCAGGCTGCCTGGCTGCCAGTAAATGTTATTATGCAGTTAAATGTTTGGTATTTAAGACTCTTATCAGAAAAGAAACAGAGGCCACACTATTTTGTTTTTATAGTAGGAGGAAGGTTTTCAGTTTTCTTTCTTTAGTGCATTAGCAGTTGTTAATCTGAGTTTATAGGAAGTTTTCCCCACAGATTAAAAAGTTAAAAACCTTGAATTTAGAGCATTCTTTAAACTGTAATATACAAAGCAATGAACCTGAGCAACCTTGACCTATATAAGCAGGCCTCCAGCAGTCTGCGAATTATGTTTTCTAATTCAGACCTGTGTGAAAAGGTGAGTTTATTTTTGAATGCTAGATTCTTCAGTCAAAAGCAGTCTGTGTAGGAGACGTGATTTCTAACCTATGGAAAAGTTTACATACATACTAGAACATGAAAGACTCACAGTGTGACTTAGATTTTTAAAAACTGTTAGCAGGCTTTGGACAATGCAAGAACTTGGTGCGTACCCAAATACGTCACTTTATATTGAATTGCAGTTAATAGCTTGATTGTGGACTCTTTCATCCCCTGCCCTCTTCTTTCTCCTTCTCATCTCCCTCCTTAAATGCAAAGGTAACTTCAACTAAATTGTGCATCCTTTTGCCTTGTCTGTGTGCTGTGTCTCAGGTCTTACTCTGTAACTCCATTTTTTCATTTTCAGACTGATTGAGCCCATTTCCTGCCACCTTCACCTCACTTAAAATCTGTGTAATCTTCTGTCCAAAATATGAGAGTTTGTTCTCGTCAGGGTGGCACCAAGTCAGTCGTAGCAAGCGCATGCAGTTAGCAGGTGGTATATCCAGGATGCAAATCACCACAGCTTGGAACTGGTTTTATTCACCAGCACTGCTATCGTGATGGTTTCCTTCAGGCTGGTCAGGATGCCAGTGATAGTGTGATTGTCCTTCTTGGTCTCCAAGACACTTCAATCTTCTAGAGATGGGCAGTATCCTAGTGCCCCTGAAAGACTAGTGTGGATATCTGGTACTTCTCTGAGCCGTAGGAAGGATATGCACCCTTGTTTTATGGGAGTCCTTAAACTCCACGGAAAGGGCTTGCGCACCGGTGCGTTGAAGTCCGGTGTTGCAAGTTGGAGGAGAGATCCTGTACTGAAGAGGTCCTTGGCTGGCAGAGCTGTAGAACCTGGGCTTCTGAAACCTTTGTGAAATTAAGTCTGGCTTCTTCAGCTTCAAAGCGCTTTCTTGAAGTTTTTTGAAGATTTTGGACTTGTGCGTTTTAGCACTGCCGTGTCTGCTGGATGCTGGGCTTAGGGCACCTCCCTGTGTGGGAGGCCGAGCGCCCTTCCCTGAGAAAGGGGGTGTCACCAGGTGACAGTAGCGCCTGGTGCCTGGAAGAGACAAGCCTCTGGCTCCACTTCACCTCCCCAGCCTTCACCTGGTCATCTACTGCTGGGGAGAGACTGGGCCCTTTTGGAAGTCTTAATGGAAGGGATTTTTTTCTTATCTTTGTTCTCTTCAAAACACTTTAATGATAATAAAAAAGATTGTATTTGTTAGTGGAGGAAGAAGTGGGGAGCCTGCACTCCACAACCAAAAAGAGGACTGTAAGTGTGCTTTGTGCAGAGACTTCATTTAACTCCCAGCTGGAGTGACATGAAGTTCAGTAATTTTGTTGACTGTGGTAAAAACAGTACCTAGACCAATGTTATCTGTTATACTTCTGCTTTGAGAAGGCAAAGGCGGTAAAGAGATTTATTTTTTTTCTGCAATCAAAGAGGAGCTTGTTAGAGATGTGTGTCTGCTGTGACTCTGCCAAGTACTTATACCTGTTTGAATTGCATTTGTTTTGGAACACTACATCCAGGAGCTGCTAAATCCATAAAGTACTTGCTAGATGCATTTTAAAGCAGTAAATCCAAGACCCGAAAAGTAATTAGCAGGAACCCGAGAGCAGTGGTGATGGAATAAGCTGTGAACTTAATCTGAGTAGCAAACCTTTACTCCTTCTTAAAATAACTTCATGGCTTTTTGTTCTGCTTCTTGTTATGTGGAATTTGAGCTTTTTTAATGAAACTTGGTCACAGACCAGACAAGATGCCTTTGTTTCCTTTAAGCTGGGCTTGGCAGCTGACTTTGTATGGTAGGAAGAGGTCAGGCAATGAAAGAGAGGAAAGAGATGTGGAGGTGACTGTAAATTGTCCTGCTGTGATTTGGGGCTGAAAAGTAAGCCCTGCTTAGTATGAACAATGGTATTATGATAGCTAATTTTGGCTTTGCATAAACTGGAGGTGACCTTTTCATAGTAGTGGTGGCAGTAGCCACTCCTCCTAAATTGTTCTGATTGAGTAGGTTTACAAAGGAAAAAAAGGCAAGTATTAAAACACTGGGATTTAGAAGAAGAGTGGTTATACTGTTGGAACTATTTTTATGCAAGTTCAACAGTTCTTGGAGGAAAGTGCCATTTAAAATGTTTCTGGTCGGTGCCCAAAGTTGCCTTGTCGAAAATGAGATTTCATCTACGCAGTGTTAGCTGAGTAGTCGTTCTTCCTCTTTGGTGCGATTTGACAGACAGGAAAGAGCAGAAGGAAGACAATGAACGCAGTGTGGGTTGGTGGTTGTTTTTTTTTTTTTTTTTTCCCTCATTCTTATTTGCTTTGTTGACATGCTGTGAGCAAAGCTGGATATACAGATAAGTAAGCGATGGCAGATGTATGTTTCAGACCCTCTGGGGACCCTTCCTCATCCCACTGCCTTCTAGAGAAGACCACGAGAAGAGCAGCAGGAGGAGGTTGCTCAGCAGCTGCTGCTGGTGGCTCCAGAAAGGCCAGCTCTGCCATGGACACTGCAACGGGGTCCTAATGATCATGCCCTGGCTTCGGTGTGCTGCGGTACCGAAGGCACCGCCACCAGCGGCCGCACCGTCATATACGAGTAGAGCACAACGGTTCCTCCAGAGTCAGTAACTTTGAGGCATTTTCAGTGACTTCAGTGGGTAGCTCTAAATGTTGTGCTTTGGTCCAGGGTCTTAAAAGCCTTTGCAGGAATTTAATCTTCAAGGTTTACCTGTTTGTGAAAACCAGTTACCATTTAGATTAGTTTGAGTCCTTCGTGTATTTCGGTCCCTTTGGGGGCGCAGGGTGCTTTTGCCACTGGTTGTTTTGGTTCACGGAGCTTCAGTTGAGGTTCAGGCCCTCTTTTTCACACTAAGATGAAAGAAATGCATGCCAATTGTTTGTGTTATAATAATACTACAGAAAATACTTGAATTTTGCGATGCTTTTCCCTCCAGAAATCAACATGCCATCCTCTAGAAGCTCTGTTTGCAACATGCTGCCTCTTTGTTTCTTTAATCCATGTCCCACTTGTGTTTTTCAGATGCTGGGGGTTGGAAGACAACAGGCAGGACTCAGCACCAAGACAGCTGTGCCAAGAGGACTGTATCAGCCGGCCACGGTCTTTATGGGCTGCCACACATCGGCCATCTCAGCCGCAGAAGGTTTGGGCACAAGTCAGAAACCCCCCCAGCCCACAGAGCGCTGCTCGGTGCCCGACCCGCCTTCATGCTCTCCATCACTTGAAGGATTTGTTCCTGAGAGCAGAAGCGCTGATTTGGAGAATGATGTTTCAGTGGAGGGAGCAGCGAGTCGCGGGGACCTGGCTGCCAGAGAGGAAGGCTCCGAGCAGCTCATCTCCTCAGCGTCTGATCCCAAACCAGCTACCCCCAAGGAGGAAGAGCTGCAGGGAAGCGTCCCAGGTACAGTGGGATGCGTGCCTGCCTGCCTCTGCCTGGTGTGGGGGCACACTCATCCCAACCAGAGTGATGCCCATGGCTGCTGGTTTCTCCTACACCTGTTGCACTGTGGTAGAAGCATGCTGGCACACTTTTTTTTTCCCCCCCTTTCTTTTTTCTTTCTTTTAACTCCAATTCCTCATAGGCTGCTTCTCTGGACAGGCAAGGGCTTGCTGGGGGCTTGCTCCTGCTCAGGTTCACTATTAGAAGTGAGGAAAGATTGCTTCACTACTGTACCCACAGTTGTCTTGAAGTAGCCTGAGCCTCATTTTTATGAGGTTTAATGCGAACCAGCTTCACTACAAAAGTACGTCACTTCTGTTTCAGGTTGGTTTCCTTCTCCCTCAGACTCTTGTGCACAGCAGTTCGTCCATTTCCAAAAGTGAGATTTGGCAATGCAGGCTGAGGAATGGCATGTCCCTGTATGTGGCTGGATTAACTCCTACTTGGTGGTGGTGGTTCTCTGCCTTCTTCTGGACTTTCCTGACAAAGGCAGCGCACACCCTCCCAGCCAAGATACTCTAGCTCTGGGATGAGATGCGCGCTGCCCTCGAAGGCAGCATTCCAACTTCTCAGTCCTTTTTTTCTTTCTTCTTTTTTTTCCCCATCTTGGCAAAATGTGTTCTCTCCTGTTTTACTGGCTTGGTTGGTCACTTTGAAGTAAGCTAATGGGCTTGTTTTTGAAGTCACAGTGACAAAGGTTTGTCGCTAAGTAACAGTTTATTCTTTCTCTAAGACCTTGCAGAAATACTCTCCCCTGCCTTGCCAGTTAACATAGCAATTTTCAACTTAAACTAGTTTTCCAAGCCCCATAACAATTGCTAAAATGGAGCTATTTATAATGGAAACTGGTGGCAATGCTAATGATGCGGGGACTCCTGCTCTCCTGTAATGATTGTGGGTCTCTTCATAGAGGAAAGCTGGCATCCCCATCAGATGCTGTTCTGTACTCCTTCTTGGGGTTTTTCTGGCATCCTCTTTCTTGAGGTTTTTTTGGTTTTATTTCCATTCCTTTTTCTTTCTCTAAGGAATTTATTTGCCTCGCTATTTCTTTCGTCTGCTGCATCTGCCACTTCTCTGTTTTAATGAAAGCCTGTCCTCACTGGCTGGAAGGGGACCAGTCCAGCCTGGCTTAGTCAGCCCAGGCTCTGCCTGCGGCTCTGCAGAGCGCCGGTTCCTCCCCGCAGGGAAGGCTGAGGTGGCCAGCATCGTGTCTGGGAAAGAAAAATACCCATTTAATTTCTGGACTGCAGTATCTCTGCCTTCAGAGAAAACTGTACAGTTGGGTTCAAAATCAAAATGAGCTTTTTGTCAAATGGCACGTTAATCACCTCGGATCGCCTGGGGGGCTTTTCGTGTCTGTCTGCTGCCAAATGCGCGTTGCGAAGTGAACAGGCTAATGCGGTCCAGGCTGGAACGTGTGGAGGGGACTGGCTTGTTCCAGCTCTCCTAAGCCTGACCTTCCACGCTGCAAACAATGGGAGCTGAGGAAGGCGCTTGGCTGTGCCACACCGGGAGCGAGCACGTGCCGGGCTCTGCTGCCGGCTCGGTGCAGAGTGGCGCTCGCCAGCCTCTCCTGCTGCTCGTGTCTGTCGCACATACTCGCCTCACAAGTTTAGAAACAAGGCTGAGAGAGCTCATCCTGGCACCAGCTACTGTTTGGCACAAACCGTAAGTGATTCCGTTCCAGTGCAGCTCCATGACCGAGACAAGCAGAAGTGCTGGGTGCTGTAGTGTTAGCAGGTGTGTGGATGCTGGTTAATTTAAACCCGTGGTGAATTTTATGGAAAACTGGAAATTTCTGTAGCAATACTAATTCGTTATAGCACTAGCTGCTCCATTAACTTTTGGCATTCTATGAAAAGATAAGTAGCATGTATCTGTTGCCTTAGAAGCTTGATTCAGGCCCGTACTCTCCTCTTTTAGAGAAGGCAGTTAACGTGCAGAGTTTAAAAGCCTCCAGGCATGTATTTCTTCTGCAAGGTTTAAAAAAGTGTATGATAGTAGCCTCTTCAGGTGCACTGTTTTCCCACCTAAGAAAACCTTTTTCCAGCTCTTCTTTCATCATTCCTCCAGAGGTGATTTAGTGAAGTAGCTGGTCTTCATGCTGACAGTGGTTTCTGAGGAGTGCCGGGTTTGTCTCCCACCCACCGGGAGCTGCCAACCCAAAAGGTGTGAGTGTGGAGGCCAGAGCCTCCCCGGACTCCCCCTTGTGAGGGGAGCGCAGAAGGACACGGGGCTGTGGGCAGGGAAACCCAAAGTGAAGGGAGAGAAAAGGCTGCTTGCTCACATGTGTTAAGTGAGAGGTAAACAAACAGCATGGGTAATCTTAGTTTCATTCCCTACGCTACCATCTACTCATTGGCCCTGCTAACATTTGGAGAATAATTTTTTTATTATTATTTTTACAGAACCAAAGCCTCACTTGAGTAACTGGTGGACTTGTGAGGAGGAGAGCTGGGAGAGCAGCACTGGGCTCCTGGTCCCTGCGAGCGCTGAGGTGATGCCGAGCACTCCCGGGGTGCTGCGGGGAGCGGCCTCTCCAGCCGCCGGCGGGGAGTGGGGCAGGGATGCCCACGCTGCAGACAGCTCCCCGCTGCAACCACCAAACCCACCCGTGGTCAGCTCAGCACCAGACAGGTATGTCCTTAAGTAATTTCTCTCTGCTGGTATTCATTCGTTAGCATATGCCCTGGAGGCCGTTTTCACAGCTTGGCTGATCCGTGGCCCTAAAGCTCACACGGAGGTGGGCAAACTTCTTTCTTATTTAGTATCTCACTACCTCTGTGCTAGTGTTCACATGGCTTCAGGTAACTCAGGTCAGACCTGGAGAAGGTAAGTGTGTGTTGTTGAAATGCAGTAGACATTCTGAAATGTAAGCACATCTTATTTCAACAAGTTTATTTAACAGCACCTATAACTTCCTAAGCAGCATATTTTGTGTGGATTAAAATGTCCAGTTGGATAAGTGTCTTGAGCTTTTCACTTGGAAATAGCAGAGAGAATGAGGAAAGTGCAAGAGATGCACGGCTTGTCCCTTGCAGCCATATGAAAGTGGTGGGGTCTTACTGCCCACAGCTGCAATGCCAGAGCATCAGCTGTGCTATTAGTCACAGCTGGGTTTTTCGGCCTCGCGATGCCCTCGTAAGACGGGGAAGCGCGTCCCCATCCCGGCGGGGCAGCACCCACCACAAGACGGTCCGTGGGCTTTGCCCGGGCCACATGGGAGGGCTGGCTTTGCTCCCTCACTGCGCTCAATCAGCCCCGTGCCAATCGCAGTTGTCCCTTCCTGGGCCCCCACCCTGTCGTGGGATCATCCCTCCCACCTCTATCTCCTCTCTTAGTTCTTCTGAAAGTCCCTTCGCCGCCGGTTCCCTCTGCACGGCTTCGTGTCCACATCCCCCTTCACCCTGGCCGTCCTACCGCTGCCTGACCCCACAATTCTGTGACCTACAACCGCTCCCTTTCTGCCGCTCGCTCTTCCTTAGTGACACGCTTCCGTTTCCTTGTCCTCTGTGTCCTCGACACCCTTCTCCCTCCTCACCAGCCTTTTCCTGCCCACAGTCCCAACAGAAATATCGAAGCAGGCCTTTTCTGCAGGCACGGGTGCTGCTCCCCTTGGGTCTCCCTAGTTTGTGCAGGCACATGTAAAATGCTCCTAGCTGGAGTAGCTAACTAGGTACAGGGTGGTCAGCTGGTGGCTGTACGCTGGGGAGAGACCATGTTCAAGAGAAACCAGCGGTTTTACCCCTGGACAATGAAGAGTACTCTTGCCAGTTGGGGTTGGTTTTTTTCATTTTTGGTTGTTTGCAGCTTTTTAATCTGCTTAACACATCTATTCTTCCCACATTCATGGCCACATTGTCTTAGGTGCTGATTTCAGTATTAGTTTGTATTTTAATAGATGACAGTTGAGCAGAAACTAGTGGCCATCAATATATACTTCTGTAACTTTATCATTTCACATTTGCATCAGACTGTTGCTTGCTATGGAAACATCATCTAATTTACATCTAAATAGCTTTTACCCAGTTTTTCTTTTGTATAACACCTGTTAATCATAACACTTTGTAGGGAAGCTGCATAGAGTGCCTGCCTTTGCTAGAGAAGTCATAGCTGAGCGATGGTAATTTAACCTTTTGTTCTCTCCCTGTCGACGCTAGTGATGCCTCAGTGTTCATAAACTGATGAAAATATTGTGCAATGCTCTTGAAGCCCAGCTAAATTATACGAAAGGTTTCACTGCTTGCATTATCTCCAGAGCACGACTGAAACCAGAATGTGGAGGTTTCGTTTTGCATTATGCCAAGCTGAATACCTCTGTTTTTCTCAAGGCCGTGGAAGTGGGATCACCACTGTTAGCTTTTTCTGTAGAAAAGATACAAATTTTGTTTTACTTGAAAACTAAAATACAAAAAAAACTTAAAAAAATGGCAGACATGGAAGATACCATGGAGGGATAAGCAGCCTTGTGGTTTTTGTGCTTATAACCAGGTGGGCTTTCCGAGTCCGCCTTTCCAATGCACGTGAAATTCAGCAGGCATGATCGAGTCTTGCAAAATAATTAAGGAGGTGAAAATCTCGAGGAAAAGTTTCCAAGTTATTAGTGCACAAATTTCAGTTGTATAAGTCACACCATGAGAATGCAACTTTTTCTGGTCTGAATATATCCTGCCACAGATTCATAAAATTAATAATATCACATGTCTTGCGATGTCCCTTCAGTCTCTGTGTTTTTTCTCTTATGAAACTCTTACACTGGCTGAAGAAATACACTGAAATTACGCAAAACTATGCATATTTGTCATCTTAAATTTAAATATCTGCAGCTTGGACCTTCCCAATGTAGCAATATTGCTGCTGTGACATTCAAACAAAGTACCAAGCCCTCACCTGTCATCTTTGGGTCATTTATACACTTTTGGTGTATTATTTTAAATTAGTGCAAGTGGTGAAGTTGAAAGGAGCTCTCGTGTACAGACACCACAGCTTACTCAAGAGGCAAAACAAAATTATTGCATCTTGGGAAGTCACAAGTTTATGTTTTTGGAGAAAATGCCTTTCCTACCTTACTGCAGAAATACCATTCTCTTGTTAAAAAAGTTTTGGATTTTTTTCCCTGCAGTAAGTGTTTGCAGGTCATATTTTGCCTTTGGGTAAGTTCAGCTTCATCTCAAACTGCCTTCTCCAGCTCGGAAAATGGTTATCATGATAACATCATTGGGTTGTTAGCCAAATGAAGGTGATGTTGCCATGAAACGTGATTTAGCGTAAGGTTTTTGCCGTGGTTGCAGCTCACGGTAGGGTACTGCAATTTTGCTACTGTAGTTATTTAAAAATGATGATTTTTTTTTTTTTTTTTTTTTTTAAATTTCAAATAACTTGTGTGTCTCTGAGCACTGCTGGGTGGGTGTGTTGATGGGAGGCTGTACGCATGCATTTTCAGATGCCTCCTGCTTGCTCAGACCCATGTGAGAGCCTGGGCTGTGTATTCCCCGTTCAGGTCCTGCAGCCCAGGAGCCCGCTGGCGAGCAGGGGCTTACCTGGCTTATTTAAGCAGCACCATAAGGGCACCCCATCTCCCCTCCCGCCCAGTGAAACCACCCAATAGCTCTGGTCCTTGGCTGCTTGTTGCTGGTCTGAGCTGCTGAACCGGAGGTGAAAGGCTCCGTATCCTCTTACCATTCCTTACAGCACCCAGCCCTTTCTTTAAGGGCTTAAAGCCGGGGAGTAGCGGGGCGGGCGGGGGGAGAGGGTCTCTGAGAATTAGCGCGGGGAAAGATGATGACTATTTTAAGGCCTGTGCTGAGGGGGTGGAAAAAGGCAGAGCTTATGCCTGTGCTGCTTCAGCTGCATTGAAGAGGACTTAGCACAGATGGATTGTGCATTACAAAATGTAACACATAATTCAAGCTGTCAGCTTAATCAGACTGTTTCCAGGAAGCAACCTGTAAAAGAGAAGGACCTCTTGTTTGCTGACCTCTGATCCGTAGCCTGCTGCAGATTGTCATACATTTTGTTTTTCTTTATGTTGGTGTCCCTTCCTTCCCCTTCCCTTTTTATTATTGTATCCCTCTCGAGTGGCACCCTGGAAGGACCACCCAGCGGGAGGAAAACAATGGGAAATGAGCTGGCCGCTAAAATACAGGGTTTGTAAGACTGGGGGAAAAGAAAAAGCACTGTTTAACTGCCTATGTGATCTCCCTGGTATTGTTTTGCTTATTAAATGTCTAGGAAACTCGACTAAATGCACGGCAGCTCCCACTTAATTGTTCACTGTTGCCCAACAGTTCAATGGAAAACACAACTTTTGGTACAGCTTAACATGACTGCAAAAATGATGCAAGTTTTTGTGCACAGAGCTTTTCACTTGAGGGAGCATAAACCAAAGATAACGGTATAAATATGTCAGCTCCTATATGGGGAAGAAAAAAAGGAGGGAAAAAAAAAAAAAAAAATCTTTATTTTGCCTGCAGGGCTCTGTAGGCGAAGGCCCAGCTGGGGCATTGCTGGTGGAGACCTGGCCTAGAAAGTCCCCAACAAAGCAGGCAGCCGGCCTGGACCTGAATAGCCATTTACACCTCTGTTCAAGGATTAGCCTGCTGTATTGTTTCAATGTTTAAGTCCTAATTTGCATCATTATAGAGGTGCAGCTTCATCAAAACCCCTCTGAGGTCCCCGTTATGTCCCCATACCTGTAGGTGGTCACCAGATTTATTTAAATTGTGGAGGTGAAGGAATTAAACTACTCAGGGCAGGGGTAATTTCAATGCAGCATCTCAAGCCCTGGCTGATTTCTGGATGGTTTGCTTGTTCATGCGCATTGAGTTTTTTTGTTTGTTTGTTTTTCCTTCTTACAGAGCTCAAGCAACGCAGTTCTTGCTGCTGTTGGCTTTGAAAAGCTAAAATGAGTGCTTATTTTTCCTACTGGTGTGATGGGAATGCATTTAAAATACCTGTGGCGACTGGGGTCGCCTCAGGCCCTGCTTGCTGTCTGTCCGCAGGCGCGGCGGGACGCTGCCGGGACTCTCCCCTGCCCTGCGGTTGATAGAAGACGCGGCGGTGAGGATGAGCCCCCGGAGCCGGGCGCTCTACCGGGGCCAGCACCTGGGGACCGTGGGGACAGGGGAGCTGCTCAGGTGCGTAACTCCATCCCCTGTGTTCTTGTTTGCTTGCTGCTGTGCAGCAGGCGCAAGGCTGGTAATGATTTTGTTGTTGATTGCTTACACGCTTCTAATTGAATTCAGGCGAGCAATGGGGAGAGGCTGTTTCCGAGCAGCTTCGCAGGAGCCTGTTGAGATTTGGGCCAGGGGTCCTTGCTCTTGCGGTGACAAATGGCCAGTGCAAAGAGCAAGCGGGCTCCTGCAAACAAACATTGCCAGTTGCTAAGAGGCCTCCCTGCCCCTCTACCGGTTTATGTCATCAGAGAGCTGAAATATGGCACTTGGAAGCACATACACAAATTACTCCAACAAATATTCTTTCCTAAACGTAGCACTTTTGCAGCCTTGCTCCACAGATCCCTTAGGTGAAGTAAATACTTATTTCCAAGAATGAGAGCATCCCCTTAGCTAGTAGTGCTAATACGATTTACTGAAGTAGACAACAATAACCAGAAAAATAATTTCTTCTTCAAGGTAAAAAACCAGAGAGCCACCAAACCCCACGTGTTAACAAAACCAGGGGCAGAGAGCCCTCACTGTTCCTCCACAGCACAGGCTCTTAATTACAAGAACTGGGAACGGCTTTGTAATTTGATTTCAGATTATATGTCAGCCTCTATAAACTAAGATGCTCGTAAGCACTTGACGGTTAGAGGATTTACAGGGAATTAGGAGGAAGGGTTGCCAAACCGACCTGGCCCCTCCAGCCTACCACTAGAGGTGGGTTCCCGTGACCTAACCGCTTTGGCCATGGCACGGCCGGGGCTGCCTGGCCAAGAAGCGGTTTCCCCAAGTAGATGTGTGCAGGTTCCTCTCTCCCTGTCAAAAAGCAAAGGTGTGAAATTAAACCTGGTGTTCTCTAAGCACTGGGCTTGGCCTCCCTGTCCTCTTCCACACCTTTTGCAGAGAGCATCGTGGACGTTTGTCCCTCCAGGCTGTCCCATGGGTTATCCCATTAGCTAGGAGAAGTGGTACAGGTTTTGCCTCCAAACTGATGCTGGCTGGCTGGGCTTGAAATAAACGTTGCATGTAATACCAGCTTTATTTTGTAGCTTTTGTAATCGGGCCGGCAGTCTGAAAGAAGACGACCTTGAAGCATGCGAAGCAGTCGTCCTTCATCAGCTTCGGGCTTTATTGCAGAGCACGCTGAGTGGATGCCTCCTACCTGAGAAAACACTCGATGCTAAAGGTAGAGCGGTGGATGAAAAGCAAACCAGGTATCGCAGGCACAGAACTTGTGTGTGGGTGTGATTAACATTCTTTGCTTTGCTCCCCGAGTCTGTTCTGCCTCTCTGGTGCAGAGAAAGCAGAGCCAGGGCCAGACCTCCAATCGTGCTGGAAAATAAAGACGTCTGAGTGCTGATCTTTATGTATCTTGGCAGCAGCCGTGTGACTCGAAATGAGAACATTAAGCAAATTCATTTATTTTCCTTTTCGTTCACTGATGGTGAATCTTATTCCGCTGGGCAGCACTCAGGCCAGGTCCCCTCGTCTAGCCCAGTCTGCAGCATCTCCCACCCCAGGCTGCTCTGGCAGGGAGGGAAGCGTATTAACTTCAGAGACCTCTTAGCCAGTAATTTCTGTGATCTTCAATGTGAGTCTCAGGCACGTAAGGATGAGGAATGTAATTTTGAGAAGCAAATTATTTTTCTGTGAAGCAGAAGATGTATATAGCCTTTAAAAACAATAAACCGCAGTTATTCAAGATTTTTTTTTTTTTTCCTTATCCTTGTGGCATATGCACAGGAAAGCGAAAATTGTTTTGTTTTGCATTTTTTTTTTTTTAGGTCTCTAATTCAGCAATGAAAACAATTTCCATTCTTTCACACACAGCTTCTGTCTAGACCTTCTTCCCTGTTACCGGCTCAGCAATGCTCAAGTGTTAGCAGGATCGGGGCACTTGTGAGCACTGAAGAATGGTCTATTTACCTATACCTGATTCTCCTTTCGAGGCTGATATGCCTGTGAGCACTAATACGTTGTTGTATTTCCTGAATGGTTTCTTAGGGGCAAACACTTGTGGAGTTAATTGGAATTCACTCCTCTGTTTGTGAAACTTCATTGGAGCAACTGGAAAAACAAACATCTTTGGCAAACAAGATTGCAGTATTTATATTTTCTGTGTTAAAAGAAAAGGCACTTTTGCTCAAAAATAATAAAAAGAATTCTGAAAAAAAAAAAAAAGACAAGCCTGGGGAAGTGGGTGCCTGATGGAGTAAGTGGGGCCTGCCCAAGGCTGAGACTAGGGGCTGCAGAAGAGGTTTAATGCCTCCTGATCCCAAAACTTAGGACAGATTCAGGGAACAGACATGATGATGATCACCCCTGCCCATCCTCCCCATGTTTGCAGAAGTCATGAGTGAATTCTTACATTTTCCACTTTGAATATTGTAAAAAAAAAAAAAAAAAAAAAGTGGGAATTAAGGGCGAAATGTGTGACGGCTTTTCCCACTGCACATTGACCCACTTCTCTGGATGAATGAGTGGGGTGGTGCCTGCGTGATTCTCATGTACACGGGCTGTCCCACTAATGGTGTTTGGGTTTGTTTCTCAGGCCAGAGCAGCAGTGGGACGTGGACGTGCTGCGGACCTGCTTGAGCAGCCATGCCTTGTTCTTGAAAGAGCAGCAGGTTCAGCTCACAGAAGAAGTGGCAGAGATGTTTGAGAGCCTGCTGGTTTCCAGCAAGGAGGCGCAGGACAGCCAGGTTGGCACTTGCAGCTAATATCTAAATCGATGACACCTAGAGACTAATTTGCACGGTGAAGGCGAGCCGGGCCCTGTGCTGCTGACGCGATCCCATGTGGGGGCTTTAAGGGGAACAACAAGCAGTCAGCATTCGTTAATCAGCCTCGGGGACGGTAGGAGGTGGGTAAAGAGAGAATCCGTTGTCTCAGGGCAAACACATACAGCACTTCATCCCACAAAGAAAGCAGTCTCTTGAAGGTCTCCAGGAGGGTGTCTGTTTTTCACCCTTCAGTTATTTATTTAAACAAGCTCACACGTTTGCTGTGGTGCAAATTTATCACAAGGCTTATATCATCCGTCTTTCTCTGTTGCTTAGTAGCTTTTTATCGTGAATGATGTGTATTTTATTTTTTTAAAAAAACAGAGTTATGTTTGGTATACCGAATATGCAGAGCATTTTACAAACAGTAGCATGCTCATTTTTAAAATGTTAACGCAAAAGGTTATAAAGTCAGTCTTTCAAAAAAAAAAAAAAAAAAAAGGTTGGTATTTGGTAGATCTACGAGTGTCCTGATCTCTCTTGCTGCAAACCCAGAGCAGCCATCCGCGCGGGGCGGGCAGGGCTCCAGCTCCGGGCCGCAGCCGTGCCGGCAGAGCTGGGACTCTGGCACCGGAGCGATGTCCCGGCTGCCTCTGCACCGCCCCTGCTGCGGGGGGAACCGGGGGCTCTGCCAGGCAGCCCGCCGGTAACGGGTCAGCCCCGTGCTCTGTTCCAAAAAAATATTTGCAAAAAATATTTTTCCTCTAATTTTTAATGAGAAATTAAAAAGCAGTTTGAACTGCTTCGCTGTATTCTAGTTTTAATAGCATCTGAAACAAATAATGAAGATGTAATATTTTAGTCATTTGTAAGCTTTCAATAATAGCCAGGGTACCTTCTGTTTCTGTGTGCGGATAAGTAATTTATATTCTGTCCTTAAAACATTCAGGCAACTAGAAGAGATGAGCAAGGAATGTATCATTGCGCTGGTGACAGATAAACAAATACCGTACATAAATTTATAATTGCATGTAAAAACTTTTACAAAGTCAAAGCTCAATAACACAAGCTTTATGGGTGAATATATGCAGTAATAATCTGTTTATTGCTGCATGTTACTGTGGTCCAGACATATGCATCGAACTATTAAGTGGATTCCATCAATTAAATGTAATGCCAGGATGCATCCCTTACTTGGAAACACCTTATTTCCAAGCAGGATCAATATAAATTTATTTATATAAATGTAAGTTGCCCAGAACAGGATCAATATAAATTACACAATGTGCGTGTACGGGAACAGTTACTTTACCATAAAGATGTATATAATGTAGTAATGAACTCGGAAACAATCTGCACCTGAGGATCTTAAATATTTATGACTCCAAAGTTTGAATTTTTGGCCCGTGGTGATGCCCTCTTTCTCCGGGGGCTGGTAGATCTGCGGGGAGCCCTGGGGGCGGTGGTGCTGTGCTGCCAGGCAGCAGGGTGGCGGTGCAGGGCGAGCCCGGAGCTCCCGACCGTACGGGTAGACCTGTCAAGTCTGGCAGCTCTGTCGGCGCTTGTGGTCCTCGAGGTTTGGTGATGACTGGCAGCAGGTCCACCTTCTCTTCCAGTGCCTTCAGCATCTCACCCGTTCCAGAGGTGCACAGCATCTGGCTGTCCACCTACCTGTTTTCTCTTTATCTCTTAGATTATGTCTGTCTTCTATTCCCTTGCATCTTACTACCAGTTTTTCTTGTCTCTCACAGATCTCCCCCGTTACCCCTGTTAAGAAAACTGGGTGGTGTTCTGTGGACAAGGGACAGCTGTAGGGATCTGCTGTGGTAGAACACCTTTTCTGGGCACTGGGGTAGTCTCTTGGTGTGGAAACTGTGCACTCCAGTGCCCTTTTCAGCCAAGTTATGCTCCTGTAAGAACAGACCCGGGTGGCTCGTGCAGCATGTTGGATATCTTCGTGGCCTGATGGGGACCCTGATGGGGGTGTTGGCCACCCTGGAGTCGTCTTGGTCCCTGTGTCTCTGAATGCCGAGCTTTAGTGGGACCCTTCTTTCCTTCTGCCTGGATTAATTATGGTTTACATTCATTTCTTGCATTTGGTGGTGGTGGTTCATGCCTATTTGGATGATAAATAATACTGCACAGGGGTAAATGAAGTACCTCTGGTGTGAGAAATCCCCACTGAGATAAACTGGTACATGGGAATTAATTTCTTTCAGTACTTAAGATTTCCCAAACCTGCCTGTAATTTAAGGCATTCTTTACATTATAAGTCAGTCATTTACAAGGAGACCTAAAATCCTAATTTTTTGGGATGAAGTAGCAGCTTTCTCGCATTGGTTTTGTATGGAGACTTTCCATATGTAAGTGTAATAGAAAGAAAAAAAACTCAGTGAGCTATTTGCTTAAGACTGAGAAGTTGCCATTCTGGGCTCCTCAATAAACATGGATTAATGAGGTTATTAATGAGGCAGATGCAGGAGAAGAAAATTTTCTCATGAGTCCAAAAATGTTTTGGCTTGAAGCTGTTCCATACTCTCAGGTCAGTACATGTAAAGTAAGTTAAAAACTTGGAGTTCTCTCAGAGATGTTAGTCCTCATCACTGAAGGCTTGTTGCTTTATTAAACAATCAGATAGTTAGAGCAGAAAATCTAGTAGATTTTAAAGACTGAAGTCCATGCTTTGTGTTACAAAATAAACCCAAGAGGAACACTCTACAAGTAAAGAAGAGATAAGAAGGATGCCCCAAAAGCCTTTGCTTCTCTTTGTGAAACAGTAAACGCCAAGAAAGATGATTTTTCCTGCTCTCAGAAAGAGCTTTACAAAGCCACACGCCGTCCTTTTAACCCAGGTGAATGGTAACCTAAGAAGTGCTTGCTTTATTTTAAACCTGCTTTTAACTCAGCTGTATTTATGGTACGTTCAGCTCCCTGTAAAGGTACTGGCTTCCAACTTAATTTTTTGCATCAAAAATACATTTAACTACGGAGGTCTGAACAGTGCTGCTGCAGAGGGCAGCATGTGCAGGCAGGAGAGGACAAACTTTACAAATGTGCAGGAATAACACCGATTAAAATCCGAGCTGTGCCTGGCTGGGGCTAGCTCGGGCAAGCTGTGCATCGGGGTCTCTGCCTTCAGGTTCTTCCGTCTCGGTGGTGTTTTAAGCTGCAGCTATTGCTAACGCTGCGGGTTAACTTCCCTTATTGCTGCGTGCCTGAAATGGAGAGATTTCTTTTCAGTCCGTTGCTGTTGCAGCGTATTTGATACAACCTTCTGTTGTGCTTACCCTGAATGCATGAGGCAGGGAATACCGAGAATTTCCAGAAAGCCTAGTGATTAAAAGAAGACTGCAGAGTTTGTGTTACTTGAAGGCAGAATTAAATTCCTGAGCTAGCGTGATTTAACTCAGAGGTAATTTAACATCTAACAAAAACACCCTGGAAACAGATTACATTGTGAAGTATAGATTAGCCTAAATGTATGTTGGAAAATGCTCGAGACGAAGGATAATAGGGCTGCAGCTATTTTTATTTTTTTAATGCTGCAGGCTCTACCGGTGTTGAGAGAGGTCCTTCCAGAAGAGTGTGGGGATAGGTCATCTATTCAGAGTAATGAATCATCTTACAGCTTGCCATCGATCCCAAATGACGGCGGGGAAATAAAGCAGGCGACACATGCTCCCCGGCTTGCCGGCACGGGAGAACAAGGTAACAAGTGTTAAAAGGTCCGGCTGCGCGCTCAAAGTTACTGTCCTCCTCTGGATATAGATGTATTTTTTATCCAGATCTGCAAGAGACTGTATTGTAGTGACTGGCAAATTAATGCATATGTGTAATGGACTTGGGGGGATTTTCCTAAATATCTCCGTATAGTTTGTCATTCTTGTTGCTTCTTAAAATGAGTGGTGCCTATTGTGACTGTTTTTTTCTGCAGCAGTAGAAAAGCAAGCCTTGTGGCAGTTATTAAAAAGGGATCTATAGGTTTGCACATATTTTAAAAATGTCTACCGCTTAGAAATTGTGGGATATATTTGTTGCCTTTTACTATAAAGCCAGTCCACAGCATAAATTTTCAAAAATAAAAGGGTTCATGTTGAGAAAGGTGTGTGGTGCTGTTTCAGCTCTTAGAAGGTAAATGCATTTGTGAAAACCCAGTTAATTTCTTCAGATAAGGAAGTAATATATTAGTCCGGTGTAATAACCGGCAGCGGCAACTTGCTTGGTCTGCTCTCGGAGCATCCCTTACATCAAAGTCCGGAAGAGACAGGCAATTAGGTTGCAATGCTCTTTATACAGCAAATGTAAACAAACTGCTTTAGGCCTCCTAAATCCACGCGACTTTTATCCACGGAGGAGACGGAGACTTTGATTTAAACTATTTTTCGGCGGTTGGTATGATATACGCTGCTGCTGTCGGGCTGCAGGATGAGATCGCAGAGTTACTGTGGGTTGTTTGTTTCCCAAATCCCATTGGGTCTTAAATAATTTAAGACATTTGGTTAGCGTGTCCTTTTCTCTGAAAGCTACAGAGAGGCAGGGTAGCCTCGCATGTGAGGAAAGTTCACAGTAGGCGCCTCTTTTAAGAACAGTAATGGATAGTTTAGATCAATAAACAAGAGATAACAAAAGTGAGAAATTAAAGGGAGTAGGGCTTAAAAGCAAACAAACCAGTCTGATCACTGCGACTTTGAAATGTGTTTCATTATGGTGTGTTCACATCCAGAAGTCACAAGCTGGTGTGAAGATGAGAGCAAGGAAGAAAGCACGGTCGAAAAGATTCCTATTACAGGTAAAAGTAATGGCTGCATATTAACCTTGAATCCAGTATTCAACTCTATTATATAATCAAAACATGGCATGTTAGTGGTCTGGGTCCACTAATAGTGAGTAAATTCAGCTACTACATACTGAGCACAAAGATTAAACATAAGATCATAAAGTCCTCGCTTATGTTAACATAAACCAAGATGGAAAATAACAGCGCCTATTTAATTCCTTGTAATCATGTTATACATTTAAACCATGTGAATATCCTGTCATTTAGCCTTTCAGGTCCCGGTATCAGTGTTACAAAGGTCAGTCTCCATGGGGAAGATCCAGTAATTATATGGCAAACTACAGATGTTTCTGATTTGATTCTTTTCTTTTCTCGAGTAATTGAATGTGTATCATTAGAATAAGCGCAGGGAAAAACCCCACTAGCCAGGAAGCCGAGCCTTTGCCTCTGTTACAAAAGCTGCCTGATAACACCAAATTTTTAGCAATAAGGTTTTATCAAGACGTGTTCAGATCCTCTCGCAGCAGATGTCTGAGGCTTGCTCAGGATCCCGAGATGTCGCAGCCTGTCGGTCCTGGGGTATCAGTAACGCATTAGAATTCAGGGCAGGGCTCTTTGCAATGAGTCTCAATTTGCTTTTGCCTGATTTTGTAAAGTGGTGGGCTTCTTCCTTATAAATTTTGATGTTTGGCTAAATATTTATTTATGCAGGTGTGTACTCTGACAGAAAGGTGCGAGGGCATCTGCTTATGCAACGCTCGCTGTTGCTTTTCTGCTCTTTTACAGCCCCAAAATAGCCTGTCTTTCGGAGAGCAATTCATTTCTCTATGGAGGTTTTCCTCTGCTGTTTTTTTGAGCCTAATTCACAGCTGAAATATAAAAATGTGCTTCTTGTATTCCTGAATTATATTGCAGCAATAATATTCCTATGTTAGCCCAATAAAACTTAGATTTTTTTTTTCTACAGAGTAGAATGCTTTCCATTATCCTGCTTCTTAAAATGTTCTTCAGTCACACATGGCAGCATATTTTAAAACATGAACTGCATTGATTTTCAGAGGAACTAAAAGCTACTTAAATCTTTTTCTTGATCAAAACACACTTCTCATTTGAAAATTAATATGAAATGTTGAAAATCTTGAGATTTGTTCAATTTTGTTTGTCATTTAAGAGGATTCTAATTTGAGGACTGGGGTTTAAATTCCCTGAACAGCAGAGAGTGCCAGCAAGAACAGTGTCAGGAATGGTGACTCCCTTCAAATAATGCCATCACTGATACTATTTTTTTTTATTTTTTTAAGAAGAACACAGGCCCTTTAGTTTGGATCTCCATAGCTGCCCATGCTTTTGGTTTCCTTTTCCCAACCCTGAATTTTATGACTTGCCAGTACTGGTTTTAGCTATGGTTTTGCATACAGATTTGTCAGGGAATTCTCTTTTACAGATTTTCCTGCTGGGGACCCTGATGGTCTGTGCAGCGGGTGGTTGTGTTAGAGGTCAGTTGGTCAAAAGCCAAGGTGTGATGGACATCCCCTTTCCCTTCTTTCCCATAGCCTTCTTACTGATTGGGCATGCAAACCCTTAAGACTGCCTATTGGTGACAGTGCTGAGAAACTCCCTAACCTAAACGCTGAAACCAGTAACTTCAGTTGAAAATTTGTTCTTTCTGAGTCTGCTTTATTTGCTGGTCTGTTGTAGTGTGTTTCCAGTAGCCAGCGGTCACATTGTCTCTAGGAGTGAGGCTTTTCATATCTCACTTGAAAGCAAAGTTGCTCCTTTCAGATGTGATTCATCTTCAGCCCATGATCTTCTCTGGTCTTCTTGTTCTCTTCTGGCTCCGCGTCCTTCCAGCCTGTCGCTTTTTTCCTTTTTGTTCATCATTATTTGCTGTAGAATGTGGCCCTGGAGCTTTAAATTGTTCTGTGCCTAAAATAGAGGCAGCATCTCTCTGTGTTGTTTTTTGGCCTCAAATGACTTGTTTGAGGGTTTGGCTTTGTGTTTTTTAGATGAACTGATAGTTAATGTTCATGCTATACATGATCATTTCGCTGTGCAACTTTTTCTAACCTTAAGGGATACAAATTTTATTTTTTTTTTTTTCAGTACATGCTGCATTCTTTAAGGGCTTTAAGTGTTGGTTTGAAACACTGGAAGCCTTGGGGCTTTTGGGTTTTGGTGGACTTCATTGTGAGAGCTGGGTGGATGTGCTTCCAAGCAGTCTTCTGTGATGACACTTTGTGAATGCTTCTGTAGTTTTGGTTTATTTTTCTTTTAATTCTGTTACAGGAAAAAAAGAAGCAAAACATTTATGTATTCTAATACTCTCTAAATATTCCAGAAATATTTGTATTTTTTCTTTATTGCCTAGAGGGGAGGAAGGAAATGGCTGTGTGGCTTTGGGGAAAAGGGCTTTAGAGTTGCAGCTGGCATGGTGTTGGATGCCCCTTAGGGCCAGCCGGTGTTGGTACCTGAAGCTGCCTGTGCAAGGCCTGACTTCATCCGTGGCTTTTCTAAGCAGAGGCTTGGCCGGACACATCTACTGAGCCGTTCCCATCCTGGCAGGCTACCTGAGCTTCCCAAACTCATCATCAACCGGCGGCGTGGGGGCAATGTAGCTTGTAGCACAAAGATGGGTATTTTTTTCTTAGAGCCTTGTCCTGAGCTTGTGACAAGCCATGTTGTGATAATTGACTTAAAAAGGATTATATTTTGTGTATGGTCTCACCCAGAGAGGAGTTAGCTATTAATAGCAATCTCATTTTATACCAGGTTGTATGATAGAGGAGGATACGTAGACTTGTTCTCATTTTCTTCACGGATGCTTTTTTATCGTGGGAAGACATGTAAAAGAAATTGTTTGGCTTTTTTGCTGTTCCTGAGGTAGGTGAATAATGAGAGATTAAAAAGAAAGGATAAATCCATTATTTCTTGTTTTGCTGGATGACTGTTTAAGAGTCTCATTTATGAGTAGGAAACTGCTGATTTTATTGAAGGGGCAGGTTTGTTAAATCTTTAATAAAACCAGATTCTCTCTCTACCTTTCATTTATGTCTTTGATTTAAATAGACGTTGAAGATACAAAGCATTTAAATAAAAATGGCGTTACTTCTCCGCTCATCAGGCTTCATTTTCACAACATCTTGAATGTCACCTTCCAGCTACTCTCCAGGTATAAAAATCTCTAATGTAGAAATGAAGAGGAAAAACCCTCTTATGAAGAAAAAAAAAATTAGGCCTTCTTTATATATCATAAGGGAACATGAAAAAGCACAAATGCAATTCTGCTTTCCTTTTTAGGTCACCTTTAATGAGCCAATAATCCTGCCAATGCTTTTCCCACGCCCACGCGTCCTTCCCGGTGAGGTCCTCCTTTGAGCTTGAAGTTAAAAGGTTCCCGAGGTTCCACTTGGAGTGCACTAATAAAGGCATTAATAAGTCTACCCAACTTCTTGCTTCATTTGATATCAACCCATTCGCAACTGCTGTTAGGAAAAAAGTTCATCTGTACGTGATTAATCACTGCTGCTGTTGTGGTATGACAGAACCGCGTTGGGACAGCGTAAGAATACGTTTTGCCTAAATTAGGTTGGATTACGTTCTCCAGTCAGTGGTATTTTATGCTGCTCAAGTTAAGTTCCAGAAAGATCTGAGAGTCCTTTTATAGTTATGAATTCTGGGTGAAAATTCTTCTTCAATTTTTAAACAGAGGCACCAGCTTCTAGAGGTATTCTCACTGGATGGCTTGCTCCACTGGCATTTCCCGAGTCCGCTGGTCATCCGAGTGTCTGCCCTTGAGAGGATAGCATTGTACATTGATATATTACTATAAGAAGAATATTTATCCTTTTCCATTGAAAGGAATTGGTGAGATATTTGTTGGTATTTGACCTACTTCTGGATACTGGTTACTGCAGTGCTCTACTCACATTTTAATTTGGAGACTTTGCTCTCCGAAGAGCAAATCCTTCAATCAGATTTGCAGGTAGCCTTTATCTTCTCTCTATACACATTTTTTTTTGCTTTATTGCAAGGGAAGTCAGTGCATCTAAGAGCTGGCACTCACACGTCTGGTCCCAAGGCAGAGGTGTGCACAGCAGCTGTTTGTGTGCTGGCAGTGGTGCGGCAGCTGAGAGCCCACCTTTAATTCTCTTTGTAGATTATCAGCAAGCGCAGTAATTAGCACTAATGTGGTAGAGGGGCTTGTTCAGAGTTAAAGTTCCTCTGGGCAGGAAGTATTGTTAGTTTTCTGGTTTGGTACAGGACCTAGCAGTATGGCAGCCCAGGCCTACCAGGACTTCTGAATGTGGGTGCAATAACTATTGCCAGGGTAACTGTAAAGCTACACAGCTTGCAGGCTCAGCTGATCCTGGTAATACTCCCTTCAGGGCATTATTGACTTCAGAGTCTAGTGACAGATGAAATACCTGAGCTGCTCATTACTTCACTGGTGATAAAAGCACACAGGAAAAGCAAAGTTATTTTTGGTGTGGGCTTTCACTTGCGTACGAGAGGAAGGTGCAGGAATGTGTCTGGGTTGAGTCTGCAAAAGCACTGGGGGTTTTTGCCCTCCGACTACCTCCATTTGCATACAGGATTATTGATTGTTATTGGCAATAATGGATGACAGCTCTTTAAAGCTTTTGAGTGGCACACAAAGTGCTCTTGATCCTCTCCTGCTAGAGCAGCACCTGCTATACTACTTCTATGGCTTGCTTACGTGCTTTGTCGCTTAGGTTGAAGATTCCGGTTTTGCTCACAAACTGTACAGGCTACACATGAACACAGTGGTATTTCTGTTTTCCCAGTCTGCATTTTAAAACCCAGCAACCTGATGAATTAGCTTTCCCATTTCCAGACAGGTGGAGTCAAGCACTTGGAGATTGTTCATAGAAAGACGACTTGGTATCTGCAGATGACTCTTCTGTGCTGGGACTCTAGCTGCAGTGAAGGGCCTTAATGCTGGTTTTGATGTTTAAAAAGCATTGGCCTCTTCCTTTGTGACAGAGATAATACAATTAGCAAGGTATAAATGTTGCAAGTACGAGGCCAAGAGCTTTCTTATCTCTTCATTTGCAGAAAATTACATCACATCACTTCTGTAGCTGCTGAGATGTTTGGCTCTAAATTGATAGATGCTGCAACCCTAAGTGATAGGTGGAACACATGGAGAAAATACTGTATTTCAGTTCTGTGCTGGTACAGTATGTTCTGGGTTAAAGATCACTTTTAACTGTTTGGCAGAACAAAATAATAGTGGTTCATTATGCAATGATGGTGGGTTTTTCCTGGAATTGTTGGCTAATGAAGAAGACTACACCCATTTTGTTCAGAATAAAATTGTAAAAGCTGTCATGAGAGCTGCTTTGGCCCATGCCAACTGCACAATTAATTCAAAGTTGAAAAGTATGGAATGTTTTTAATTAATAGTGGTATCACAGATCCTTTGCTAGTTCTGAGTAGAAGGAACAATGCATAGGGAGGAAGGCGCATGAAGAGCTGTGTTGTCTGGGACACACCAGGTCCCGTTCTGCTGCAGTATTGCTCGAATGATTGGATTAAGAATTTCCCATTATTAACATCCCAGTTTAAGGACTGCGTTTCACGAAGCTTGTTCAGTTGTTTCTGTGCAGCACAAGTTGGCCAGCTTCAGCCCTGCAGCACACCTGCGCTGCTTCTGGGGTGTCTCTGGAATAGGGGAGCTGGTGATGTGCTGTGGCTGCTCCTTCCAAAAACTGCGCGGGAAGAGAGGACCAAGCAGACGTGTCCGTCTTTTCCCTGGAGTAGCAAGAACAGACCAAATTCAGATGGGAAGGGAGAGGTGCTCTACAAGCCTGCGTGTGCGGCCTGGGAGGCGTTACGGGGCAGCGTCAGGGAAGAGCTGCTGCTCTCCAGCAGCACAGTCACAGCCCTCGTCTCACCTCCGCTTCTGCTTCCCAGCGCCACTCTCCCCACTGAATGATTTTGTGGTGCTTGGCAATTCTTTTATCCAGGGGGTTCGGTCTGCACGCTGCTGATGTGATCTAAACCCTTTTTTTGTTTGTTTTTTCTCTTTTCCACTCGGTGCATCTATCTTGCCAGGGCTGTCGTGTTCTGCTGTGTGCTCAGGGCAAAACGTGTATTTGTGTTTGAGCACAGCATGCTTTTCGCTGTCCCCAGCCTGCGACAGGGAGGGTGCATTTGGCTGTTAGAGCACAGCAAGTTAGGCGCTTCTGGCAAACCAACAGAAACACGCACACCCCCAAGAACAAAAGTGTCTTTTTGAGCTGTTGCGTTTAACCTTAAACACGATTGTATTTATGAGGGAAATCCACTGATCTGCGTAAGGGCTTTATGGCACAATGCAGTTCTTTTAGGAGCAAAGTACTAAGGGTTTTCTCTCCTAGCAGTGTATCTCTTGTATCTTCTCTGCCCTGTACATTGCACTAACCGCTTGTGCTTTCTCACAGTGGTGAAGCAAGCATTGCCGTGTGCCCAGGCTGGGCTGCTTTTGTTGTCAGCGCTGCATGTCCGTAACCAAAACTCTTCCTTTTCACCAACTTACAATGTGGACACCTTGTTGGGGGTGTGGGGATGAAACGAGTGAGCAGGGTAAGAGGAGGTAAGAGCCAAGTGATTGCTCAGAACACAGTCAGCGTTTATGTCTTGTCAGATGCTTCAGGGGTGCTACAGCCCAGATGAAGCACCACGGCAGGCTTCCCAGAGGGGTGAGCTGGGGGACTTAGGAGTTCCTAGAAGGATCTTCCATTTTGGTAGGGTACGTAGGATGTTAGTCAGCACAAACATGCTCAAGGGGAATGACTGGACTAATGGGCTAGGCAGTCTGGTGTAACTGAGGCAGAAGTGGTGATTGATAGCCTAGCAGTGTGTTATAGTTGACAGGTTGGGCAAAGCTGGGCTCGGAAGGGTCTTAAAGGTGAAGAACAAGTAGATTGAGTTATTGTTTCATGTGTGAAGGAAGGGGAGCCAGAGCAGGCATGGGAAGCTTGAGGGAATGGTCTTTTGAGGCTGGTGCGTGTGCAGAAGCTGTAAGGAGAGCTGCATCACAACAGTGGCCCAGGTTGAGTTTTGGTAGAGCTGACAAAGACCTGGACTTTGAAGTGCCAACTGAGAAGGTGTGGCAGGTACGACTGGATCACAACTGGGCTCTGTGTCACCGCCCTGGGGAATGGGAAGAGCGTGCAGCAGCGACAGAGGAAGTTACTCGTGCCCGGGTGGAAGCACTTCCCTGAGTTGGCAGATGAGTTCCTGCTGCAGGGGACCCCATGGACAGCAAGTGAGGTGTCGGGTCCCTGCTCGGGGGGGTTCCCTGAAGCAAAGGGAAGGCTCTGAGAGGCACGCATCAGATGCAGCCGCTTAACCAGCATGCTCACACCCTCTGAAGCTACCGGCTGCTCTGGAAACTCTCTGCCTGTTGTGGCTGGGCAGGAGGAAGAGCGTTCAGTCCGCTGTAAGGAAGCGGATGTGTCCCTCTGCCTGTGCAGGGCCAAGACAAGAAGGGTGGTTAGAGGTGATGATTTGCTTGGAGGCCGTTTGCTTCCCGTGCTCCTTCACGCAAGGAGGAAGGCACGGGCACGCGGGAGCCACGCCTGCAGGGGCACGTAGCTGGATTTGGAGTGTTTGCAGAGCCTGCGGTGTTCTGGCCTTGCGCAGGGCTTTCTGGAGGCCGAGGGTGCCCTCCTGACGCAAAGCCGGCCTGTCCCCAGGCAGGAAGCGAGCACGTCGTCTCGGCTGCGCTGCGTGCCGCAGTTTGAAGCCGTGTGTGAGGAGCCCTGAAAAGCGCTGCTGGCAGTCTTGCACCCAGGATGTCCTCTGAAAAAAAAGCTGATTTAATCAAGTCGGAACTTCCAGAAACTGCTTTTCACCTGTGTTAAGTGCTTTACTGCAAGGGGGGGGAGGTTCCCCTTCTTTTTTTTTTTTTTTTTTTTTTTTTTTTTTTTTTTTTATCTTTCTCACTGTTGATTTCTTTTTACTCTGGGATGCGGTCAGTCTCTGTTTGGCAAGCAGCACGCTGCTGCCGGTGCAGTGCCCCAGCCCTGTGCCGCCTGGGCATCAGTGCCTCTGCAGTGGAGGTGTCCGAGACCGAGCGGGAGACGTGCTGCAGAAATCCCAGTGCAGAGGGGTGTGAGCCGCTGGGGCGGACGGGTAACGTGCACAGCCAGTTTGAGCGTCCAGGATGCACAGAAATACTAAATCGTCCGGGGCTGGAATGAAGTTGGTAACAATCAGGGCTTGTTTATAATCTCAGTATTACATATATATATGCAAAATAGCCTTTTAAAGTGGGATTTGTACTTGAGCACCATGTTCTTTGGAAATGAGTACAAAGATGAGCAATTGTACGATTCCAGTGAATGAATTCATTTACCTCTTCTTTTTTTCTTTTTTGAAATCAAGCTCTACAGAATGGAAATGAGATACACAGAGCGGGGGGAGAGGAGAGAAAGGAAGGCATGGATAAAAGATTTTGAAATAGTTGGGTGTTTGGCTGTTTAAGTCATGAAAATCTCAAGCTTTGTGTTTACCAAATGCAGTTCTATTTCAAGAGAATGGTTGAAAATGCTGATGTATCAAATAAGAGAACTGTAACTAACCAAAATAATATACATTTAAGGGGAAGGAGAATAAAAATAACCTTGTTTCCTGATTAACTACAGTAAACAAGAACTCCAGGATAAAAAAAGAAAAAAGGAGTAAGAAAACCCCAGAAATCCTTTAAGTTTTGCTTAAAGTTGCCATGATGCAGTACAGCTCTTAAGAGAATCTCAGTGTTTGCTCTTTTTGCATGTTTTACCTAATTTTAGAAAAAAAATGTCACTATTCCCAAGAAATCATCATCAGACAACTTAATTGGTAGCGAGAGAGTCTTGTTTCCAGTGTTTTAACTAATTTCCACTTAATCATGAGCAAACAATCTTGAGGCAGATTGCGTGCTCCTCAAGACTTTGTCATCAGACCAAAAGTATGGCCATTACGTGCATCTATTTGAAAATAAGAGTGTGTTGCTGCTGGGGACTGCACGCTCTGCTGTAAGGTCCAGCCATCATTATTTGAAAATTTGTATTTCATGTTTTTACTTAACAGGTTGGGATAGTGATGATGGTGATTCCAAAGCAAAAGCAAGCCAAGAATTGCGTTCGGAAACTAATTCTTCATCGAATGAAAGAAGTCCTCCCTTCTCAAGGTAAAGTTGTTAAATCCTGTAACATGTGACATGCTTCTGTAGAACGAGAAACGCTGACAAAAAATGACTGAACGTCTGATTATTTTATTTTTTCACCGGGTCTAGGGTTAAGGTTTGTATTTATGTTTATCTAATAAAACATCTTAAACTTTGGTACACCTTCGAAAATATTTGTGCCAAAGCCAAGTATTGTTTTGCAGCTGTTGTTTTCTCATTTTAAGACTCAATTGACATCTCAGTGAACCACAAATTAGCGTGTACAGCTGCTCTCAGTAGGGCTACTCAGGGGCCAGACAATGGGAGTTGTCAGGAGAGGGGGAGACATAAAACATAAAGTCTTCAAGAAATAAAGTGGTGGGTTTCTTCTCTGTGTATTCGAGATGTAAACTAGCTGTAACTGGATAAGGCTTTTCATGGGCTCAGGGTTTGGGGCTTTTAAAATATTTGATACTGGGGTATTTATAACATGCCTTTCTTGCTTTCAAACTGAGTATGTTTAATTAATGGCCTTACATGCACCTTAAAGGGCACAGGTGTTTTGGGGTTTTTTTAATAAAAATTTATTTTTGAAATGAAAGAAAAAAAAAAGAGAAAAAAGATTTTAAAAGTCCCCAACAAACTACAAGCCGACTTTTTTTAACTGCAGCAGTTCCCTTTGGGTCCTGGGCAGTCCTGTTGGATGTTCCCTGTATTCTTCATTGGCATGTAACGGTAATCAAACAGCAGCAGTCGCATTAGTGGTCAAGAAGCAGCAGAAAATAGGATATAACCTGGCCATCTCACGGAACGCTGGCTGGGGCTTAGGTCCGTATCTGCTCTCACTAGAACAGCCCAGCAAGTGGGTGCTGCTGCTGCTGCGCGGCTCCGGGTCTGAAAGCTGCCAGCAGCAGCACTCGGGAAGAGACTTCAAAGCGTTCTGGTGAATTTTTAACTCCTCCTGTTTATACGGCATCGCTGTCTTTCTGTGGCTTTTTTTATGCTGCCACTGATGAGGTCGGTTTTGATATGGGAGACAATTCTAATTTTGCAAGTGTTGTTCTGCATTTTGTGTTGATTCAAGTACAGTAAATAAAGACAAGCCGTAATACAGTATTGATGAATGCCATTCATGCTCTTTAGCATTAATTCTTACAGTCTGATGTTCAAGCTCTTTTTTTATTATTTATTTTTTCCCTTTTTTCCTCCTTTTTCTTTTTTTTTTCTTTTTTCTTTTTTTTTTTTCTCCTTTTTAAATTTCTGGAACTTTGTGAATGATGTTACAACTCATACTACCTAATGCTATGAAGTGCAAGGGTGCTCCTATAGATGAATTTTTCAATGTTAAATTTTAGCCATTTGCTGAAGCTCAGGACAGCAGGAAGAAAGGATTGGGCCCTGAAGAACTCGCTTACAGGATCACTGCTAAGCATCTGAATAAAATATGTCTCATTTAAAATGATCTAATTTTTTTACCTTAGGAAAAAAAGTCTCTAAGCTTTCTCCTCCTTGGATGTTGCGCTGCTTGCTAATAATGCGTTTGGCAACTTGGGTGTTTTTCAGACGCTGCTCATGACATACAGGGGTTTTTGCTGTTTTTTCAAATTCTTATTTGCAATAGATTTTAAAATAATTCACTCTGCCCTGTAATTTCAGGCCTTTCAGTGCTGAGAAGCAACTGCACTCAATGCGCTGATACACGATAATACTGCCTTAATTAAAAAAAAAAAAAAAAAATCTCTTATGACGGCTTAAAGTTAGTCTTTCTAAATGAGTCAAAAATAACACAGCCTTCTAGACAGGCAGTTTGTCCGCAGCCCTTGCTGTCGGACACTGGGCACCCGCTCTGCAGAGACGGGGAGCGGCAGGAGCGGGGCGAAGGACGGAGAAACGGGAAGGGCGGCCGGCTGCTTGCTCGCGGCCAGGACGCAGCGTGATTTCTTCACCGCTCACATTTAAGCGCTCCACTTACTGCAGTCACTTCTGGGGCTTTATTGCTTTTACAAGTGGTCTCGAAACCCACTACTTGAGAATAAACATAACTGTGTAGCACTGCTGTGGTACTTTTTATAAATTCTTCTTTGCTCCGTTTTGTCACTGAGCTGATGAGTGACCTCGCGAAAGACCCTGCTGGACCTAAATAAAAAAAATGGCTTCCTCTGATGTCCTCCAGACAATAATTATGATGTGCCAGTTAAGCCCAAACTACAGCTGAGGGATTTTACTTTAAAGCAGAGGCTCGGGCGCAAAAATGCATTTATAGCTCTTTGTCTGGCACCTCATTATGTGTGGGCCTGATTCATTAAGTAATTGGTTTGCAGTTGTTTACATGAGTATTAAGGCTTTCTATTCAGCAGCCTTTGAGAGATACA